CTTCATTTCCTGTTTATTCGAGTCTCAGTGATCAAAAGTTTCATTTGTGGCATGCTCGATTGGGTCATCCGAACTCAAATAGACTTGTAGCCATGTTTCGTCAGCAGTTATTTGGTGAAAACAATAAATGTGATCGTGTATCGGATTTTTCATGTCAACATTGTGTCGAGGCCAAAACTACTCGCATTTCTTTTCCCTCTAGTACCACCGTTATAGATGAACCGTTTCATCTTATCCATACCGATCTATGGGGTCCTAGTCCCGTCACCTCACGTCATGGCTATAAGTATTTTGCTCTGTTTGTTGACCATGCTACTCGCTATACTTGGGTTTATTTTCTACGCCTCAAGTCTGATCTTTTACCCATTGCCACTGAATTTTTACAAATGATCAAAACTCAGTTTGGTAGAACTGTTCGTGTAGTCCGGTCTGATCCTGGTGGGGAATTTAGTTCTACACCATTGCTTCATCTGTACTCCTCTCTTGGCATTCTTACCCATAAATCGTGTCCAGGTGTCTCCCAGCACAATGGTTTAGTAGAACGTAAAAACCGTCATGTCGTAGAAATTACTCGTGCTCTCCTCCTCTCATCTCATGTCCCATCTTTTTTCTGGCCTGAGACAGTTTCCACGGCTGTTCGGTTGATTAATTACCAGATCACTCCCATTCTTGGTCAATCGAGTCCTTATTTTCAACTGTTTGGCAAACATCCTCCTTATTCGAGTCTCCGTGTCTTTGGCTGTCTTTGCTTTGTTTTACTTCCTCGATCCGAGCGTACCAAATTGTCTTCCAAAACTGCTCGTTGTGTCTTCCTTGGTTATAGTGATGTCTCTAAGGGTTATCTCTGCTATGATCCTGAACTTCGTCGCATTCGTACAGCCTGCAATGTTGTGTTTATGGAAAATCTCATGTTCTACTCCTCTTCGTCCACTACCACTCCTCTTTTTGACACCTCGTTGGGTCCTCCGTCCTTCTCTGACACCGATGATATGGATGATGCTCTCCTTCACTTCGACCAGCCCCCTGATGACACCCCGCCTCCCTCCCCACCGCCGCCTCCGCCATCGCCGCCGCCGCCAGTTCGTCGCTCTATGCGCTCTACTCAGGGTGTTCCTCCACCTCGGCTCCGTGACTATGTTACTTATGGGGTGGATTCGTACTTCATTCCCACTCGGTATTCCCAGGCAAAGGGTGATCCGAATTGGGATCGCGCGATGACGGAGGAGGTTACTGCTCTTCGGGCTAATGAGACCTGGGTTATAGTTCCTCGCCCTGTTGACAGGCCAGTCGTGGGTTCTCGTTGGGTTTATGCGCTCAAATTTCTTCCTGACGGCACCTTGGAGCGTCATAAAGCGCGGGTTGTTGCACAGGGGTTCAGTCAGGAGTTTGGGGTGGATTTCGAGGAGACCTTTGCTCCTGTCGCGAAGATGGTCTCTGTTCGTACTCTTCTTGCTGTGGCCTCTCATCGTGGATGGCCTCTCTTCCAGTTGGACGTCAAGAATGCATTCCTGCATGGCGATCTTAAGGAGACAGTTTATATGGAGCTTCCTCCTGGCTACACCCCTGATACTGATATTCCAGATCCGGTTTGTCTCCTTCATCGCTCTCTTTATGGTCTCAAGCAGGCTCCGCGTGCATGGTTTGATAAATTCCAGTCCAATGTTCTCGGTTTGGGGTTCACGCAGAGTCAGAGTGATCACTCTCTTTTTACTCGCCAGTCTGCTCGTGGTATTGTGATTCTGCTTTTATATGTTGATGACATGATTGTTAGTGGTGATGATGCAGCTGGCATTGAGGAGCTTACGCAGGGCTTACATGCCTCCTTCACCCTGAAGGAGCTTGGTTCTCTTTCTTATTTTCTGGGCTTAGAAGTTACTCATTCGCAGGCTGGTATTCTTCTCAGTCAGAGAAATATATTGATGATCTTCTTGACTCGGCTCGTTTTGGTGATTGCATACCTGTCTCTACTCCGATGGAACTTAATGTTAAGTTGGGGAAGGAGTCGGGTGACTTACTGCCGGATGGTGGTAAGCAGTATCGCAGTATTGTTGGTAGTCTTATCTATCTTACTTTGACTCGTCCTGATATTGCTTATGCGGTCCAGATAGTTAGTCAGTTCATGTCCGCTCCTCGACTTCTCATCTAGCTGCTGTTCATCGCTTACTTCGTTATCTTCAGGGTACTCGAGGTGTTGGTTTATTTCTCCCTGCCACTGGTTCTTGTGTTCTCCAGGCATTTTCGGATTCGGACTATGCAGGTTGTATTGACACTCGTCGTTCCACGACGGGGTGGTGTATTCGTCTCGGTGGATCCTTCATTTCTTGGCGGTGCAAGAAGCAGGATAGGGTTTCCAAGTCATCCACTGAGGCACAGTATCGTGCGATGTCTGATGTGGTTTCTGAGTTAGAGTGGCTTCGGCGATTACTTGCTGATTTTGGTGTTAAGTGCGAGATTCCTATGGAGCTTCACGTTGATAACACTAGCGCTATTCGGATAGCGACTAATCCGGTCCTTCATGATCGTACGAAACACATTGAGGTTCATCTCCACTACATTCGTGACCTGTTGAGGGATGGTGTTATTCGTCTCTTCTATGTCAAGTCCGAAGACCAGATTGCTGATCTCTTGACTAAGGCCTTCACCGCTAGTCGTCATTCTTATCTTGCTAGCAAATTGATGATGCGAGACCCTCATCAATTTGGGGGAGGCTGTTGAGTTATGTAACTGGGCTTAAGCCCATACGATTAATGTACGTAGTGTAGGCCTATAGTCAAGCCCTAGGCCGATCCCATCATCTCTCGGCTAGGGTTAGAGAACTCTATTTATTGTAACTGTAACCTGAACATGGAACTAGTGAATACGTTGACAGCTTCGGCCGTGGACTAGTCTTGATCACACTGATCAAGGAAACCACGTAAATCTCCGTCTCAGTTTCGTTTCTGTTCCTAGAACTATCTGCTCCGATCATAGCTCTTAACAGAGCACGAATCCCTGCTTCTCGGTAAACACAAAAAGACAAAGGACAAACACGAAACGAAAACAAGGACTCATTGCAGCATCACTGACTTTGAAAAACAGTGCAAATCATGGTTGTCATGCCGCTGGCATGCCACCTGATTCAACCTGTGCCGGTCATGAAACCGGCATAACACCACCGGTATGACCGGTATGATCGACTTACGCATTCTAAGTAAAATGACATCATTTTAATGAATTTAATGAATAAAAATAATAATTTATTATTCATTTTATGAATGTAATAGTTAAAAGTTGATGATATTTGTTGGATTGTAACTAAATTGTCCACAAATATGTTTTATATATGATTAAATACATTGGATTTTAATTGTTTTCACATTTTTTTAGACCGACATGAACCGGCACAAACTGGTTATACCACCGATCGTACCATTCCACTTGCCAAACCGGCACAACGGTATAAACCGGTTTGACAACCTTAGTGCAAACACAAAAACGACAAGAATTATTATCCTTGTTTCCCAAAATACAAATGACTCGTATATGGAAGCCTTTGGATTCGTTGGGGAAAGTCTTTAGGCACCTCCAATAAACTTCGCATTTGTTTCGATGATTCCAAAAAAAAAAAGGGAGCAAAGCGAAGGGTACGATACGGAGAGAGGACAATTCTCTTTCTCTTTGGTTTGGGATCGTGTGGTACGGCGACGGAGCAGTTTGACGGAGGCAGTGTCGGTTGTGCCGAGGGATTCAAACTTTTTTCTTTTACGGAATAAATGTAGCCGTAGGAAGGTGAATATACAAGGAGTTTAGTGGCGGCGTCGCTATAGAATGGAGATTGGTTCGTCGACGGGGAACTCACGGGAAGTGCTTTTGATAGGCTGCCGGAGAGGGGGAACCGGGAACGAAGAAAACGAACATAATATTTTCAGTCCCGTTTTTCCTGTTTATGGAGAAAAAGAATTCAATTCAAAGCAATAGTCTTTTTTGTTAATGGAATTGATTGAAAAAACAAATAATACAAACTGACTGAAAAGTAACAGGACGTGTAATGGTCTAACGGAAAAGGGGTGACGGTTGGCCCAAAATTCTGGGCAACGAGTTTGGGCTTCGGCTTTATAATGACTCAAACAATGCCACCTCATTGCGCGCGTGGACCAATAAAAATAGCGGCACCGGTGCCGCACTTTTTACCGCGGCACCATAGTATTGGCCAGGAAAAAGGGGTTAACTGCATAAATGTCCACGAACTTGGGATCATTAATAACTCGATCACCAAATTTTATATTTTAGCGAGCTACAGTTACAATTCAGTATTTCGCTCGACATTGATGAATACGATAATGTCCAATACCTCATATTAACGAAAATTATACACCCTCTAATTAGCTGTTTGTTCAGGTAAGCAGGTAATCAAAATTGCTCAATGCAATACTGGGTGCAAACATAACGAGTTTCAAATGGAATGGATACGAGTTATACAAAGAAACCTCCATATAATTTAGCTAAAATAAATATGTCCTATTAAAATAACCGAACTGATAGTTTACGTTAATTGTTTCAAACGATAAAAGATAACTCGGTGATGTATTTGCTATTTTGCCCAACAGTCAGTGACCATTCATGTAATTGGCCAACCGACAGTCCCATCCCCTCCCAAATCCAATCTCTCTCTCTCTCTCTCTCTCTCTCTCTCTCTCGATTTTATGATACGGGTGATCACTTCTCACGAGGAATCTAATCTCTCATTGATCTGTTTTCAATATTCTCTCTCCACTCTCCTTCCCTCCCAAAAAAAAACCCCTAAAAACGACTCAGATCTCATCACCACCGCTCCCAAATCTGAATCCCCACCGTCCATTTCCCCCAAACAAAATTTCTGTCCCCTCCTCTCCCCTGTACAGTCATCTCCTCCTCTCGCCAAAATTCCCCCATTCCCAATTCTCATCCAGATCTATCCAATTCCCAATCTCCCACGCACTTCCCCCTCTCATTCCCCATTCATCCTCCACCCACCGCCGGCGATGGTGGAACCGCAGTCATGGGCCACCCGGCGGATGAGCAATCCCAGGTTACTCGACTCCACCTCCACCACCGCCACCACCAACTCCTCCTCCGCCGCCTCCGTCCCGGCCGACGACCAGGTCCTCGACATCCCCGCCACGCCCCCGGGGGACGTCAGGGGAAACAATGCATACTACTACTCCACCTCCGCCGTCGGATCTTACTTCTCCCCCACCGTCCTCACCGCCTCAATCATCGCCTCCTGGTACTTCTCCAACATCGGCGTCCTCTTGCTCAACAAGTACCTACTCAGCTTCTACGGCTACCGCTACCCGATCTTCCTCACAATGCTCCACATGATCTCCTGCGCCGCCTACAGCCACATCGCCATCCGATTCCTCGAGGTCGTCCCCTTCCAGCAGATCCTCTCCCGCCGCCAGTTCCTCAAGATCTTCGCCCTCTCCGCAATCTTCTGCTTCTCCGTCGTCTGCGGGAACACCTCCCTCCGCTACCTCCCGGTCTCGTTCAATCAGGCAATTGGAGCGACGACGCCGTTCTTCACCGCGATTTTTGCGTTTTTAATTACTTGTAAGAAGGAATCGGCGGAGGTCTATTTGGCGCTGATGCCGGTGGTGTTTGGAATCGTGTTGGCGAGCAATAGCGAGCCGTTGTTCCATTTGTTCGGGTTTTTGGTCTGCGTCGGGTCGACTGCGGGTCGGGCGTTGAAATCGGTGGTACAGGGGATTCTGTTGACATCCGAAGCAGAGAAGCTTCACTCGATGAATCTGCTGCTGTACATGGCGCCGATGGCGGCGATGATTCTGCTTCCGTTCACGCTGTACATAGAGGGGAATGTGGCGGCGGCGACGGTGGAGCACGCGAGGAGGGATCCGTTCATTATTTTCCTGCTGGTGGGGAACGCGACGGTGGCGTATTTGGTGAACCTGACGAATTTTATGGTGACGAAGCACACGAGCGCGCTGACGCTGCAGGTGCTGGGGAACGCGAAGGCGGCCGTGGCGGCGGTGGTTTCGGTGCTGATATTCAGGAATCCGGTGACGGTGATGGGGATGGCGGGATTCGCCGTTACGATTATGGGCGTGGTGCTTTACAGCGAGGCCAAGAAGAGATGTAAGGTCACCACTCATTGATTGACGCAAGGAGGAAGAAAAAAATTATTTTCCTATTTTCTGGGGCAATATTTGAATTTTGGTGGGGAGACGAAAAAGGAAAAGAAGAAAAAAAGGGGGGGGGGGGGGGGGGGGGGGGGGGGGGAAATTCGGAGAGACATTTAAAGGTGAAGATTCATTTTGATTGCCATTTGACAGCCCACAAACACCCAACTGGTAACTTACTGCGGCTCTTTTTCCCCATTTTCTTTTTATAAATCTTGCTTTTTATTTACAACTTATAAATTCCTGATAATTAGATATCGTGGGAATGGTTGAATGCCAAGATATAGACCAATGGAATTGTCAGCAATTGTATAGGATAATGAATTTATGTTCTTTTTTTTCCCCCTTTCTATTTGGAGCCTGAAGAATAACGAAATTTTTTATCTGAAATTCTTTCTGGCTTAACGGGGAAAAAAAACAAGAGGGAAATTGATATTTTCTCTATGGCATGTGCTCTGATAATAATTGTGCGGTTGGAGCTGTCGGTTGTATAGTTGATTACTTCTTTCGATCCATTTCCAGATCTAGTTAGGATTATGCTAATGATTTCTTTGTTTCGTCGTTTTTATTTGTGTGCTAATTAGTTGTTGTGATCAGATTTACCATGTGTTTTGTTAGCATGTTGATTAGAGATAGACGTCAACATGATTCAACTGATTTGTGATTTCGTCCATTTCATGTATCTATTATCGTCATTTATATGATTGTCATTATCAGAATTTTACGAGTAAACCGGTTTGATTGACGTGTGGTCTGATATTCGATAGGTTGCCTAGATGCATACCCCTGCCAGCACTTCAACCAAATTGAATAACAGCATAAAACATTCATCAGAGAAATCTAGCATTGAATTATAAACACGTAGGTGGAGTGGAAAGGAAGCAAAGCGATGAAAGTTGTGGTGTTGGGTTTCTTTTTCATGTTGGACCAAAATTGTGGTTGGTGTAGAACTCATCCCACCGTGGCGTCACTATCCATTTGCCGGAAAGGTTCCACTTTGTCGGTCCTCAACTCATTTGTTATTGTCTAATCAGGTGGATACAAGACTGAGGGTTTAATCATAATCATAGGTGTTAACAAACTAGTGATTACTTTTACTTAGCATTCGTTGCGTATACTCAACTCTCTCTCTCTCTGTTTCGATGGTGATGCTTTGGATGGAATGGATTAAACAAATCAAGTTCATAATTGTTTTTACCAAAACCCTACTTTTGTCTTCGCCGGGCTGCTACTGGCCGGTAGGGCCAAAAACGTCACCTATAATGGTGAAATATTTTATTAATTAAAGTAGAACAAAATTACAAAGTAAAACACAAGTAGATGACAATAACGAGTGACAGGAAGGAGAGGGCTCTGTCTGTGTGTGAGTTAGTTCTTCTTCATCATCTAGTAGCTGGTACCAGAATTTTGCTAAGTTGTTACCGTGCCTGCTGTAGCGAGACAACAACTGAAATCATATAGGTATTGCACAATCCAGCTATGATACTCACAATTTATTTTGTGAGCCATTCTATAGGCGCACGATACTATTGAATCATGCATGTTTGCTTCGTGGTGATTAGATGCAAATCATGATAATTTTGTAAATAAAATTTCACTAAGTCTATCAAACAATCATGAAACGGCCACATGAGATTCAACCAGGGGTGTTCAAACGGAGTGTTTACCGTGGTAATCATTTTAATCGATAGTATTTGGATAATTTGGTTTGGTTTATTTGGATATTGGTTTGGTTAAAAAAAATTTATCTTGTTTGGTTTGGTTTCAGACACTACTTACCAATCAAACCAAATTAACCAGTTAATTAATTAACTATATACCTAATTTATATTATATACACATATTTGCATAACCACTCAAGAGCCAAACATCCCTCCATTTTAGGATCATTAAAAATTAAGTTCAATATTGTTCCTATACTGTGTATATATACATATATTTGTAGAGTGTAAACCATGATATGTGAATGACTAATTTAGATAAAACTCATACACTATGTTAGATGAAAACTTGAAAAAGAGACAATTTTCAACCTATGATATTTGCTAAGAGACTAATAAATCAATTTATACAAACACAACAATTCATTAACCCCATACAATTGACATACATTTTTGTTAGGTGAATACTTTTATTGATTATAAAATAATTGTATTAGTTGCTTGTATTTTATGTTAATGGTTAATTATAACTATGTGTTGATTGAATTGTTTTACTCATCATATAAATTGTGAATTGATGCATTAACCAAAAAAATTATCACTTACTGATTATGTGATGTTATATTGGTTAATCTGACTAACCCATTAATCAAATGGATTAAACTTTAATTTAATTAATTTTAATGTTGTATTAATTTGGACGATTTGGTAATTAACATGATAACCATTTGAAACTAAGATCCAACGACTCAGAAGGCATGTGAAATGGTTCTGAGTTCCCACGTGTGGGGTGTCAACACTAAGCACTATAATAGATTCCCCTCTGGCCTCTGCACGGATTGCAATTAAAATATTTGGCAAGTTATAGTGGTGGTAGTTATTTCTGTTGATTCTTTAATCAGAATTGACCAAAGCTAGCAACTGGCTTAAGCCCAAAAGCTGGAGCAGGTAGTTTGGTGTGGTGGCCTGTTTCATGTAGTTTGGTGAAGTCAGGAGTGAGTGGGTCACAGAACTACTTGTGCGAAAAACATACCAAACATCAAATACACTCTTCTAAAAAAAAATACATCAAATTCAGAAGAAGAGCATCCCAAGAGTGCCAACAAGAACAAGGGCAGCAAATCCAATGTTGACCATCGCGACCCCGGAGGAGGAATATCCCGCCGGCGGGGCAGATCCCTCGGAGACGGTGATGACCAGCTTCTGACCGGAGGCGCAGTGGCCGGAGACTCCGCAGATGTACCATTTCTTCCCCGCGGTTTTGAGCGGGATCTCGTCGCTCCCCGACGTAAGTGGCGGAGCAGCGGCCAGGGGCTTGGCGCAGTCCTGGAAATCTGTGCCATTTACCTTGAACACGTTGTGCTTTCCCGCTGGATAGTTGAAAACTGCAACACCCAAAAAAAAAAACAAATTAAACACGGTTCGCTAGTCACATGAGGAAATGTCCAATATTATATCAAGTCGAGTAGTAGAATTGTACAAATTGTGCACGTCTGATAAAAACAACAATTTGCCCGTGATTCTCCAAAAGCTGCAAGAATTAAAGTAATACGGGAAAAAAAGTATTTTGTACCTAGTGAGTCACCAACAAAGAAGGTCTTGCCCTCTGCCCAAGTAGCGTAATCAAAGTTGTTGGTCCAGCCTCTTTCGTCCCCCACTACGTACTGTTTCGCCCAAGCCTTTGCGGGAACATAAACTGCCGCAGCAACAGCCGCTGCAATTATCAACGCCACCATCCTCTTACTGCTAAAGCTCGCAAAAGTGCTACTGGCCATGGCTGGCTGGCTGGCTGCTTCTGACGATCAGCAATGTATTGTGTTAAGTATATGGACTAATGGGATGCACTTGCTCTTGTTGACTTGTTGTTATATATATGGGCTTGCCTCTTTATATTTAGCAGTGTGATTTGCCGACTTATATTCTCTTCTGCCCGCAGCTCTGGTTGTAGTTATCTACCAGTTTTTGTGTTGTTTCCTTTTCTGTTGTTGTTGTTCTTCTTGTTTTTGTTGTTGCAGCTTCCGTCCGGCGATTGGCGGCAATTTACATGTGGTGCTTTATTGTGGGAACTTTTGCTTCATCATTTCTTTCTAAATATATGGTATTATTTCATTTGACGATGTCAATTATATTTCCGACTGTACGTATCAAGATAATGTGGTAGTTAGCTAATCGATAATCCTCTTTTTTTTTAATTACATGACATATAAGTTCGATTCATCAGTCGTTATGATTAGTAGTACGTAATTCCGCCAAAAATAAATGTAAATAAATGAATGTAAAGTCATTTACAATGAATAGGAAGAACTCAACCCAAAATATTATGGGTTGTGTTATTAATATTTCATTTACATTTTAACAGGTTTTGTTTTGTTTTATGCTGGATTTCACTCTTTCTGATTCCCGTTTTGTGTTGGTTTATAATAGCATGCCAAATGGGGCTTCTGAGGGATTTTTGTTTTGAATAAGTGGACTTCATAGTTCCCAGTTGATCATCTATTCTTTTGTACTTCACAAGTATATATATGGGTGTAATAATCGCGAAAATGATGTAATATCTCGCCAAGTAGAATTCAGGATTGTCATCCAATTTAGTTGTAAATTTACTATCATTGGATGTGAAAAAGTTTGGTGGCAAGTCGTTGAATTAGATAATAAATAGCATGAATACCATATAAGGGGTCTACTAGGTAGAACTGGAAATTATCCTGACCAGTCCCTAAATGGTCAAGATGTACGACTGATCCGACCCGCTAATGTTTCCTTCTTGATCATGTCTGGTCCTTTAGGGCCGGGACGGGTCAGCGGGTCGACCCTTATAAACAAACTAATTTTTTATAAATTAAATTTTGGTATCCAAAATTATGTTTCTTAATATTTAGTACAAAACTTTATTTTTTACAAATAAGTCCTTCAATTTTGATGGTAAACTACACTTTGGTACTCAGATTTATTTATTTTTATAATTTAGTACCTAAACTTTTAAAAATTTACAAATAGGTCCAATATGTTGATATGTGAATTTCATGCCTAAGGGTCACAGGGCCAAAAACTGACTCGACCCTACCTGACCCTATCCGAGTCAAAAGATGACCTGATCCTAATCTGACCCTATAGACAAACTGACCTAGCCCGACCCTCAGGGTCGGGGCGGGGCGGGTCAATGAATTTTTGTGGTCAAGTTTACACCCTACCACTAGGATGCAGCAGGGTGCACCGCAAGCCCATGTACACCCTTCTCAAAGGAATATCACTCACTTTCATTATCTTATTTAGTCAAACTGGATAGTGAAATTGCCAAAAAATAAAAATAGATAGACTTCAAAATACATTTAAGAAGCATCATAAATACATATGATTGTATCAATAATGAGTGTACAACTTGAGAGCTGATCATGATGTCCTTGAATCAAGCAGTTTGGGGTTTGATCCTTTTGAAAGGAATGCCATTCACTTTGATTAACATAATAGTTCAAGTGTATTGTGAAATTGACAAATAATGAAAATAAATAGACTTCAAAATGTTAATGTTTTTGGGAGTGAGTTAAAGATAAATCAATGGTTTTAAATTTTATTAAGGGCATTTGGTCTAGTGGTATGATTCTCGCTTTGGGTGCGAGAGGTCCCGAGTTTGATTCTCGGAATGCCCCTTTTATAAACATCTTGCAATCCATAACTATTATTTTAATTTAGCTGTTAGAGAAGTCCTTATAAGAAATAGTTACAGATCCTTCCATTTTTATAATATGTTGGGGATGTAGCTCAAATGGTAGAGCGCCCGCTTTGCATGCGGGAGGTACAGGGTTCGATCCCCTGCATCTCCATTTTCTGTATATTATTTTAATAAACTACAAAATTACAAAATTTTGATTTTATGTTCGAATTCTCTATTGACGAATTTTGATTTTATGTATTTTCTGTATGTTATTTTAATAAACTACAAAATTTTGATTTTATGTTCGAATTCCCTATTGACGCATTTTGATTTTATGTAAGAATTCCCTATTAACGACTTCTTTTCACTTTTGGCTTAGCATGGAAAAGTCTTCTAACATATATACAATAGACGGCTCATGGTGCAAGTATACTTTTATTTTAATGGATTAGACGTCTTTATATTCACAATATTATATATATAAACCGAAAAAATGTAATTATCCAGAGTGGAAGTCGACGATGCGATCAAGTTTCGTAGTGATAAAGTTAAATTGAAAAGAGAGAAATTAATAACGAACCGAGATAACTAATAAAGAATGAAAGGCTCCATGCTCATTATTTAATGTTGGTACCAATTTAACTCTTATACTAATAGAAGGTTCATCATTATAAGCGTTTCTATATTCAGAATATTATAGATTTGTGGCTAATGTCAATGGGGTTCAAATGAAAATGAAGGAGATGACAATTCAATACTTTTGGAACCGGTCATGCGAAAGAAAGCACTTAAAGCCGCATTGACTCTTCAAAAATACTTGATGCAATTAGAGAAAACATCACCGGAGACTTTGAGTGCGATGAGTAAATATCAAGATGAACTTCTATTAGGCTTGAACTTTAAGAATAAACAAACAACTAAATATTCATATTTTTCTATATTATCCGAGCTATATTATATATTCTAGATGAATTGTATTTTTACAATTATTAATTTATTGAATTGAAAATACATGTATTTATGTAGGTTGGTTGTCAAAAATTATTACCTTATTATTTTATTAAATTTGCTCATTTTTTACACTAGTCCAAGTCGGTATTGAAAAAATTATTAATTTATTGATTATTAATTTGAAAAGGTTATACAGTATTTGAAAATTCAAAGTTTGAAAATGATAATCAACAATCACAAAGGAATAGTAATTGAATAAGGGCATATACAGTATATAGCAGCAATTAGCAAATGCACTTTCACCCGAAATAAATTTATTTTAAATAAAATATGAAAAACCAAAGCTTCAAAATGCAAAAAAAAAAAAAAAAAAAACATTGAATTAGACAATTAGCAGACCTTCTAAGGTCAAATTTCACAAAATCCAAATTCAATAACTCTATCGCTATTAGTCTCACTCCCAAACACACAACTCAATTTCAGATCACATGAACATCCCAAGAACGCCGACGACCACCATGGCAGCTGCAGCAAACCCAGCACTGATGATGCTCCCAGAGGCGGCGCCGGTTGATGGCGAGGTCGGCGTCGGCGCCGGAGCGGCGGATCCGTCCAAGACGGTGATGACGAGCTTCTGACCGGAGGAGCAGTGGCCGGAGACGCCGCAGATGTACCATTTCCTCCCGGTGGTTTTGAGTGGGATCTCGTCGCTCCCGGTGGTAAGTGGAGCGCCAACAAGTGGCTTCGAGCACTGCATGAAATCTGTGCCGTTCACCTTGAACACGTTGTGGCTTCCTTGTGCGTAGTTGAACACTGCATCCATAGACAATAATATTTATGTCGTTTGTACACCCCAAACTAATAATTGTGAAATCTTTATGGAATTTATACCAGAAATATTAGTGGTATAATGTTTTATACTAAAATTGTAATTGAACGGTAGTTCATCACGTTTTGCAATGTAGTCAAAAGCGAGTTTCTACGTAGAAACATTTTAGTGATCTAGAAGCATAAAATTGTAAGTTTTTAAGTTTTAAAACACGATTTTGACTACATTGCTGTTTTCTACTGCATAAACAGCATACCGTTTGACTTTTAATATTCAGTATTTTTATGAAAACAAATTACTACCGATATCAGAATGGTAGAAGTTCTAAAATATTTCAACCAAACTTTTTTTTGCTACGTACACGTAATTTATCCCCTTAACGAGTTATTATTACATGGAAAATTAAAAGATTACTTACCAAGGGAGTCGCCGACGAAGAATTGCTTGCCGGCGGTCCAAGTGGTGTAATCAAAATCCTTGGTCCAACCATTTTCATCGCCCACCACGTACTGTTTCGCCGAAGCCATCGTGGGAGCAAAAACAGCCAAAGCGGCAACTACGGCGATCAAGGACACCATCATCTTCTTGTTCTTGCTCGCAAACAAGGCCATGGCGACTATGAGCTAGCTAGCGGGATAAAATAAGCAAAGAGAGAGAGAGAGAAAAGATTGATAGATGTGTTGCTGTGGGAATGATGGACTTTGATTTAGAAAAGGCCTCGTTTTATAGCAGTTTGGTACTACTGTTGATTTCATAATCTCTTAATTAATTTCGCTTCGGAACTAGCTAATCTATCACACTTTGTGGAAATCATCAACAATCTAGCTAGCTAGTGTGTAGATTCTGCCGGAACAGACAACAGGCGCATAGGGCGGCAACTGTTAGGAATTTTAACCTATTATACATTTCTTTGATAATGTAACTAAGGCCAAGGAAATGATACCCTTCAGCCCAGAAACCCAACGACTGCGTCCTCCAAATAGCCAACGCGACGACGTTTCTTGGCTTTTATGTATACGTCATTAGGCATCCATACAAAATATTTTGCATTGTTGTGTGTGTCAACCTGAGAACACAATGTCTGCAAGTCGTTTCTTTGATTTTGAGGCCTGGCTCCGTTCCAGGATGTAAAATTATCTCTTTTCTGATCAATATATAAGATTATCTTTTGTCAAAAAAAAAAAAAACCCTGAGAACACAATGCCATTTGTCTGGTGGTGAAGTGGGTGTTCAACTGCGCGCAGTAATACTCTTCGAGAATCTTTATTATTGTGAATCAGTGAGTTACCCTCGAGTTTAAGAAATTTACTACGGCATACTGATGAGAGCAGATGCAAACATTTTTTACCTCGTTGAAATATGAAGCAAATAGTCAATGTTTGATGAGATAGTGATATCAAACTCATTCTCCAATTTCTGGAGTCTCACCTTATTGATTTTGTCAAATATTATTGTAGAAAGTTCACAAGTTTCTTTCAACATATGTTTTAATTAATTAATTAATTAATTCCCTTGATGCAAACTAGAAATTGATCATTTGTTGTAATTACAAAGATGTACATAATCTAGTTTATTTTCTGCGGTCAGAACAGAAGCGTGCAAACGATAATCCAGATCAACGCGATCGAACACAAATTTAACGTGGTTTGCTAACACAATGTGTGCTAGCTAGTCCACGGGCAGGGGAGAACAAATTTCACTGATTTGAGGAGAGTACAGGTTACAAACCAAATTCCGGACGAACAAACCAAACAAACAAACCTGACTGACCTTACTACAAACTAGGGTGATGAAGAGTATTTATAGAACTCTTCTCCTAATCCCAAACAGAAAACCAAACACCTTTTCCCAAAAATACTAGGAAAAGGTCAAACAAAGCCCAAACAAAATAGGCCCAAAACACAAAACAAATCCAAATCAAATTCAAGTCATATTCTAACAATCTCCACCTTGACTTGAATTCTCTCTCAAATACCATATGTACCAGACGCAACCAAAGTTGCCAGGTGTACCAGACTCCTCCAAATCAGTTGTACCAGAATCTCCCCTGCCTCCAAATGCCCCTAAGGGCGGTCAACAACTCAAACCATTCGGCAAGTCCAATCCATATTGAGACTTGTCATTCAGAACCAACTTGTTGCACTTATCACCAACAGAACATGTTAAAACAAAACCTTGTAGATTATACAAGGCACCACACTTGACACCTTTCAAAATCACCTTAGAACCCTTGTAGACAGACAACACTCCACCTTCACCTTTGAAGCTGAAACCCTTGTTGTCGAGTAGACTCAAAGATATCAGATTCTTAGTCATCTCTGGAATATGCCTAACATTGGTCAAGGTGCGAATAGAACCATCATGTGTCCTCATCCTGACGGAGCCTCTTCCAACAATCTTACAGATGATTCCTTCTTCTCCTGATATTTCTTCAGTTTAGGAAAATCAAATTTCCAATGTCCTTTTTCCTTGCAGTTAGTGATGGCAACGGGGCAAGGTTGGGGCGGGTACCCCAAAACCCACGCCCTGCCCCGCCATTTTGGACCATGACCCGCCCTGCCCCGCGCCCCGCTACGGGTCAGTACTTTTCGACCCAAGCATTGCCCCGTGCGGGGCGGGTAAAACCCGACCTGCCCTGTTTGTTTAAATGCGTCTGTCATCTTTAATAACTATAAAACATCACAGCCTGTATAAATATAAATCATCCACTAAAAAGCTTCAAAACTACAGACCATCTAGAATCCATAGAGTTAGTTTCATCTGAAACTCAAATTTCCATAATCAAAAGTACAAAAATTAACCTCATAAACCATCAGAAACTAGTTCTCCAACTAAAATCCAAAAACAAACTTGCATAAACCATCAGCAATTCAAAACTGAGCAGAACCAACTACTTAAAGACTTCAATCCTTAGTTATGAACTCCAAATTTCCACTCCTAGATCTTTGATCATCGATGTAGAAACCAACACTTCTCAATCTCAAGCCTGGAAACAAAAAATTTGAACATTTTACTATCAGAACACTTCATAGTTCATAGGGAATGAAATAAGTTTAAAGTTTAAAACTGAGAGAGCACATTCAAACTGCTATTACTATAACTAAATTTCTCCTGCTTGGTTTAATGAAATTTATAAGCAATGTGTGGCTTTGTTCGTATGAATATGAGATGAATCACCTCTTCTCGTTTTCTATATCAATTGTTGTACCCATTAAAAAACAAAGTGCCTCCAGTTCATGGACTGCAACGACTAAATCTATTTGCCTTACAAGTTTTGAGCTAAATTGTATATGAATTACCTCAACTTCGTTGGTTACCTCTTCATCCGTGTTGTCTTTTAATGCAGGATCTACACCATAATTAAATATTAATAAGTTGATAAATAATGTAATCGGATTTCTAAAAACTGAAAACAGAAAATAATTACCTTTTGAATCCATTTGGACCTTTTGTTTGGAGCATTTCCAGAAGTGCCTCATCAGATGAACTGTTCCGTCCTTCTTATTCACAGGCAGCAAGTATTAACAGTATTTGCATTTTGCTTTCCTCTCATTGTCAATTATAACTCTTTCAAAATGATCCCACCATGTAGAACACACATTGTTTTCCATATTTGAAATTGAGAGGTTGATCTCCTCTGCGATTGAGCATGCACACATGAAACATTCCACAAGAGGATAAGAATTTGGGATACAAAAGGAGGGCATGCAAAACCCAAAAGTTGATAGTCACATAAACAAAAACGGAAAAAGGAACCTAAAGAAACAAGGGATAATCGATATACAAAAAAGGGCTCATACTAAGAAACCAAGCCAAGCACTCGTCCAAACTTTGAACTGCTACTTATTCTTGGAGATTAGTGAGAAAATAAGCAACACTAATTTTGAAATTAGGGATTGAACCATCACTTACCAACAACAACAAGAAGGTAGCTTGGAGTTATGGAGAAGAGACGTGAACTCCAAAAGAAGATCTGATAGTTCTTTGCAAGTGGTTCCTCTTCTATTTAAGATATGCAGAAGGAAATCAAAAACTGCCATTGAAGTTATGGAGAGTCGGAAGATGAGGAGACGGTGATCGATGAATGGCGTATTGGGAAGATATGAAAAAGAAGGCAATTGAGTTTCCTTTTGAGTATTTAAGAAGGGGTACTGGGGTGGGGAATTGGGAATGGAAAGCGTTGGTGGTGGGTGATGACTGGTGAGAATTTATTTCTCTTTACTCCACAATCCGCATGCTATAAGTGGGCAGGGCGGGTCGGGGCGGGACGGGCCGGGGCATTAGCAATACCCATATCTGCCCTGTTCTGATCGCGGGTCGGGTCACGACCTGCCCCGTTCTAGGACGGGTCGGGTTCTACCCGCCCCACCACGGGCCGGGTCGGGGAAAACCCGTCGGGGCGGGTCTAGACTGCCATCCCTACTTGCAGTAATGACAGATATCATCCTTCAAACCAGCAATATTCGAATTTATATTCGCCTTCCTATTATCATATTGTTGTCTCCTACTACTCGTAGCAGCCAACCCATATGCCTGATTATCTGAACTTGAACCAGACGCCTTATGTCAGACTTCTCTAGTATGTAGAGCAAATCTGACATCTTCCAAAGACAAACTATCTTTCCCAGCAATAAAAGAATCCACAAAATTATCATATGACTATGGCAAAGATACTAACAGAATTAAGGCAGCGTCCTCATCATCTACTTTAACATCAATATTCCGCAGATCTAACAAGATAGTATTGAGTTGATCTAGATGATTCCTGAGAGATGTACCTTCCTCCATGCGTAAACTGAACAAACATTGCTTCATATGCAACTTGTTGGTTAAAGACTTTGTCATGTATAGACTTTCAAACTTCAACCACAAACCCGCGGCAGTCTTCTTAGTAGCAACCTTAGTAATGATGTCATCAACCAAACAAAGCAATATTGTATAGTGAGTTTTCTCCTCCAAAGTACTCCACTCTTCTGCATCTATACTTTCCTTCTTTGATTTTCCAGACAACAGAGCCCACAAACCCTGTTGTTTCAACAGTGCTTGCATCTTGATCTGCCACAAACTGAAACTGTTTCTTCCAGTAAACTTCTCAATCTTCATACTGATAGCAGTCATTCTTACTATCAATCAAACTCCAACCAAACTTCTCACCAAACAAGCGAGACCAAAACACAACTATCCAAAGTCAACTCCAAAGCGATTCCTCCACCGAACCAAGCTAAATAATTGAAAGCTACCTCCACAAATTATATGAAGGCTTCGATAAGTACGTTTTTAAGTAAATGGAAAAACTGGAAAAATTAAGATCCCAAATATGAAGATTGAAGCATTTGAGCAAAAGAAGGAAAAATGGGGATCAATTACCAAATTTGGGGATGAAGACCCTTACATTTGGGGTTTTGCATTGGACTTGGCCTTACCCGCCCCACAACTGCTTTACCCATTAATTAATCTCCTTTTCATTAATTGCTTCCTTTCTCTTTTTTCTTTAATATAATTAAATAATTTTTCATCTTTATTTTTATTTCCTGTCATGCATTTAGTTAATAGCATAATGACGGTGTTGGTTATATTTTAATTATAGAATCCAAAGCTCATAAAGAACATATATATATATTTATTTCCTTTTGGTAATCCAAGATGACATATATAATCGTAATTGTTACAGTAATGTAGATAAAAAGAATGTGAATCAAAGATGACAAGAACAATAAAGCTCAAATACGAAAATCCAAACACTGAACTAGTAGACAGCCTTTAATTCTACTAATTTAAGTTCAGATTTTACAACAGCACAATTCATTTAATTCAATTGTTATATATTAGTCTCATTTCCAAACACGCAACTCAATTCGATCAGAACATGACCACCCCGAAAAAGCCTACGACGACCATGGCAGCAGCAAACCCAGCATTGATGATGCTCCTAGAGACGGCGCCGGTTGATGGCGAGGTCGGCGTCGGTGCCGGAGCCGCAGATCCGTCGGAGACGGTGATTACCAGCTTCTGACCGGAGGCGCAGTGGCCGGCGACTCCACAGATGTACCATTTCCTCCCCGTGGTTTTGAGCGTAATCTCGTCGCTGCCAGTGGTAAGTGGAGCGCCAACGAGTGGCTTGGAGCACTGCATGAAATCTGTGCCGTTGACTTTGAACACGTTGTGGCCCCCTTGGGCGTAGTTGAAAACTGCACGAACCAATCCCAATAATCATCATTTGATGGAATATCTTGCTCCGGAAATAAATTTAATTAAGCACTAAGATATTTGTATTCACGTCGAATAATCAACATGCATGTAATGTGCAGCATTCTTTCTTTCTTTTACATAGTTACGACTTACAATTAAGTATTTTTATTCACGCAAATAAAATCATCATATTTCATTTTATGTGTATGAAATAATAGTAATATTTCTGCATGCTTAATTACCTAGAGAGTCACCGACGAAGAATTGCTTGCCGGCAGTCCAAGTGGTGTAATCAAAATCCTTGGTCCAGCCCTTGTCATCACCAACCACGTATTGTTTCGCCGAAACCATCGTGGGAGCCAAAACTGCCAAAACGGCAACGGCGGCGATCATCGACACCATCATCTCCTTGTTCTTGCTCGAAAAGGTGGCCATTTCCATAACAATGAGCTAGCTAGCTAGCGAAAGAAAATAAGCTAAGGAAAGGAGAAGATGGGTGGGTACGTAGATATGTGCTATTGTGGGAACGATGAACTTCAATTCAACAGGGTTGCGTTTTATAGCAGTTTGGTACTACTGTAAATTTCAGAACCTTCTCTCTTCGTTGCTCATGTCGCACTCCGTTGAAATTATCGAGAACATTGTCGTGATCGGACAACCGGCATAGGGCGGCAACACCACAACGTCGTTGTAGTGAGCGCCAACTGTTCTTTTCTCTTTAACTTGTTGTGTATGTGTTTTCAGAATGTAATATGGAAGGACAAATGGGGTTGGTTATCAAGATAACGATCACCGGTTAAAAATTAAAGCGCCATTTTGACGTATATACTTGTCAGGCCAAGAAATGATGCCATTGAGCACTACAGCAAATCCAATGACGACGACGTCCGCGGTCCAAATAGGCCAGGCGACGTTTCTTGGCTTCTATGTACACGCCATTAGGCTAGCTCAGTAGCTATCTGGTGCTGACCTAGAATTTTAATGACATTCCCACAATATAATTTGCTTTGTTACTGTCAATCTGCCAAAACAATGCCATTTGTGGGGTGGTGGAGGGGAGGGGGTGATCAAGTCCAATTTAAGGCTGTTTCAACCCGCAGAAATTAAAAGTCCATTTGTGGTTGTGGACTACTCCAGGTAGTTGGTGCGCGTGGGTGGAACTGTAGGTGTAGGTGGCTATACAGTTCGGTTCGGTTAAATTGGTACGAATTGATTCGGTCCTGGTGCTGTCTTTTCGAGCTGGTTTCGGGTAAAACCAAAAAGCCTGGACCAAATAGCCAGCCCAAGGTGGAAGTCACCCAACTAACTCAAAATAGGGCTGACAATTTTGTACATACCTATGAGTATTTTATTATCCAACTCATTTATTTTGATACCCATACCCATTTGTAAATAACAGTTTGGTACCTATATTTAATAGATTTTTAGATTTAATACCTAAATTTAATTATTTTTGCATATAAGTCCTCAAAATATCGATGAAAATTTATATTTTAGTAGCTAAAATTTTTCTATATTACATTTTAATAAACTTTTTAAGTTTTACAAATAGGTCCATTTTATGTATGTGCAGTTAAAACACACAGTCAAGTAAATGGGTATTCTTACCCAACTCTATAATGAATGAGTCTATATGATATGGTCAAAATTACTCATGAGTGGGTGCTTGCCATCCTACATGCAAAAGACCTTCTACTTGCTCCGATTCCGATGGATCTGCAAAAAAGTTCCACCAGTGATTTTATTATTGGAAAGGCTAGAGAGGGGGTGTATGGACATGGCTAAGAGCCTTAGCTTGAACCTCTAACAGTATTCTATGCCTTGGAAAGGTGAGTATGTTGGGGGATTATAGGGGATCCAATAATGTAAACATGGATCTCCACTCTAACAGTAAACTCGTGACTTTTGAAGCAAGAAAGGACGAGAGATGCACATAAAAGCAGAAAAAAATAAAACATTAGCAAGATAATATTGAAAAACTACACGTGGAGGAAATGTTTAATGTCGACGTATTCTACATGACATTGAATATTTTATCCACAATGTCAACCATATGTATTCTAGAAAAATACAACCAAATGTATTCACCAAGATTAGCAACTTGAATAGGATCAATCCTCTCGTAATTATGAAAAAGTTCTAGGAAAATTTTACAAATGGGCTAACATCTTACCACGTTGACAACTATTATAGCTTCATCTTGTCAAAACCATGAATAAACCATTTGGAAAGTTTAGAAACTTGAATCGGATGAATCGCGCGCCTCCTAACTCTGGAGATATTTCATGACGGTATTCCACACATGTTAACAGTATAATTAACCACGTTGACATAATGACATCCTATCCAAACTGGCAACCTAACTTACTTAAGAAGCTATCAACCAAGAAAAAACAACCTAGACAAAACAAAAGTGGTCATTCTCCCATAAGGGGAAGTCTACCACCTTGCCAAAATGACAAATATGACAACTTAGGGGTCGTTTGCTTGTTGGATTTGAGTCATGGATTTGGTACCTAAATCCCAAGGTTGATGGATTTAACATAAGTCCATTGTTTGTTGAAGGGTGCTAAATCCGTGGGGTCCATGAATTTGGTTTTTATTTTGGAACCAAATCCGTGGATCCCACGGACTTGTAAATCCCACATATTGATTTGGGATTTGCAAATCCTTGATGGTTAGTTATTTATTTAACAAATCCATCACAAATCCATCATCAAATCTATCATGCAAACATTAGACTCTTCAAATCCATAATCCAATAAATCCAACATAAATCCCAAGGTTTTTGTTGGCCAAAATCCTCATTTTTCAAATCCAACAAGCAATTAGGTAAACATGGTAAAAAAGTAAACATGATTAGAATGTACACATGCTTAGAATAGCATGTTAAAGACAAAAAGAGCTCGTAAGAAATATATTTATTTTGTTTGGTAATACAAAAGAATATAAATCAAAGATGACATGAACCATAACCTTCCTCTCCCAAAATATAACTCAAAACACAAAAAGTGAAAAAAAAAATGAACTATAGCCTTTCTATCTAAGTTCAGATATGACAACAACACAATTCATAACTTCCATTACTCTTAATCTTACTCCAAAAACACAACTCAAATTTTCAGAACATGACCACCCCAAGAACACCGACAACCACCATGACAGCAGCAACCCCAGCATTGATGATGCTCCCCGAGGCGGCGCCGGTTGACGGCGAGACCGGCGTCGGTGCCGGAGCCGCAGATACGTCGGAGACGGTGATGACGAGCTTCTGGCCGGAGGCGCAGTGGCCGGAGACGCCGCAGATGTACCACTTCCTCCCCGTGGTTTTGAGCGGGATCTCGTCGCTCCCCGTGGTGAGTGGAGCGCCAACGAGTGGCTTGGAGCACTGCATGAAATCTGTACCGTTCACCTTGAACACGTTGTGGCTTCCTTGTGCGTAGTTGAACACTGCATGCAATGTATAGATAATATCATCCACATAAACCTAAATGATAATCACTATGTGCTAATAACGTTTTCTTGATCAACGAGTTATTATTACATGGAAAATTAAAAGATTATTACTTACCAAGGGAGTCACCAACGAAGAATTGTTTGCCGGCGGTCCAAGTGGTGTAATCAAAATCCTTGGTCCAACCTTTGTCATCACCCACCACGTATTGTTTCGCCGAAACCATCGTGGGAGCCAAAACTGCCAAAGCGGCGACGACGGCGATCATCGAAACCAACATCTTCTTGTTATTGCTCGCAAACAAGGCCATGGCGACGATTAGCTGTTCTTGCTTTTTCTTTTTGGAGGAGCAAGAAAACAGATTGATGTATGTGTTGTGTTGGGTTGTTGGAATGATGAAGTTTCACCCGAGTATTTATATCAGTATATTAGGTAGCAGCAGTATTGACCTTGTTAGTTCTGTTGTTGGTTTTTGGTTTGTAGCCATCACACACTCTCTTGTTGAAATGATCAACAAGCTAAGGCTGTTTGTTGTCGTCTGCAGACAACCGGCTTGGGGCGGCAATACCATAGTGAGCATTGAACAATACTTTTGTAATGGTTTTAAGCGTATATAAGGATAACATAACAGTGACTGAAGGGGTGATTTGAATGGGTGTAGAGGTGGGAAAAAAAAAACAAAGTTTTCTGGTACAAGGATATGTCTGAAAGAAAGCATCAATAGTTGGTAAAAGATTGTTATTCTCCAAAAATGACACAAAAAATAAATTCCCACGTAAGATGGCTTTTTTTCGTTACGACGTAAAATAAATAAGCCGTTCGCCACATAATTAAGGTAAAATAAATAACCAAAGAGAGAACTAGTCTCTGTCTGTCATAATTAATAAGCTGATTGTGTTGATATGGCTGTTACTGCAGGTGCATCTATGCCACCTTGGGCAGGCATCATGAACCATATTTAAAATTGGTCTGCCTGCTGCCAAATGGAAATAGGTGCATTTAGGTATTGCCTTGACGTATTATATTAGGGCGGCAAATGAGTCAAGTCGAGTTTTACGCCAAGCTCGGCTTGTTTATTAATGAGCCGAGTCTAGTCGAGTTCGAGCTATACATGTGAATACGTGATTAATGTCAAGATTAAAATAATATTAATAAAGTTAAGTGTTCAATATTAACTAATCTCATTTTATAATTTATGGTATCAAACTATTTAGTTAATAAATTTTAATTAGTGAAAGTATGTTATTTCGTAGAATCGAAGCAATCTATGATATATAATTTATTTTTAAAATTAAATAAAACAAATATGCTCACATAATCTATGTGTTAAACTTCATATAGGTGTGATATATAATTTAACAATCCTATGAATTATCAAAATCAAACTCATATAGATCATTCGCTCATGAATCGGTAATCGAGTTGGCTCTCTAGCCACAATGTTGAGAATTGAGACATCTCATGAGCTCTAAACGAGTCAGCTCACGAGTTGAGCTCAACAAGCCACAAAGTCAAGCTACCTCGCAAGTTCCACGAGTTGCAGAAGGCTAAGCTCAAGCTCGGCTCATTAGTAAACGAACCGAGTTTCAAACGAGTTTTTCCTAAATCGAGCGGCCGCTCGCGAACAGCTCGGCTCATTTGCAACCCTAATTATATATGTAAGTTCCAAGAAATGATGTCCTCTAGTCCATATGTTTTGAGCTGACATTGTAAGAAGTAATGCTACTAATGTTGGATTGGGCTTTCTGCTAGGGGTTCGAAGAATTGAACGGATATGAAATCTGAGCTATTTGGGCCAATAGAGCCCATCGTCCGCTGCCAACTTGCACGAAACCGAGGCGAGGCCCGGCCCTTGCGATATTTAACATGGAGAATGAGTTTTCCATGATGCTAAAGATATTGAATCCCCTCCTCACTTGCAAGGAGGGCAGCAAATGAGTTGAGCAGTACATGAGTAACTTGATGTTCGGTTTGGAAAAAATTGGTTTTACATTTAGCTCGTTTATTAATGAGTCAAGTTCAAACTACACTTTGTTAAGCTTGTAATGCTTGCGGGCAAGCTCAACTTAATGGCTTATTAAGTTCAATTCGTGAGCTAGCTCTTTTTGAGCTATGAGCTGACTCTCTAGTATAGCTAACTAGCCTTCTCAACTAGCAACTTACGGACTATTATCAGTACACTTGATAATTCATAGGTTTGTGAGATTGTTTATATCACCACATATAACGTTTAAGACTTAGAGCACGTGATTCATTTATATTTTTAAAGATAAATTATATATAATAAATTGTTTAAATACTAATTATTATTAAATTACATTATATGTACAATTAACACTGATGAACTAAATTATACGATACCTGAACTTGAGCCAATCTCGCGAGCTGATTGATGAGGCGAAGCCAACTATAGCTTGTTATCTCATTAACAAGCCAAACTCGAGTAAAGCTTGAAGCTCGAGCCACACATAATTAAGGTTTTAATAAACAAGCAAACTTCGAACATGACTCGTTTATTGACGAGATGAACTCAAATTAAATCAAAACTTGGCTCTACTCGACTTATTAGCAGCCATGCATACTCTTAACCAATGAGTTCGAAATCTCGTGGACTATGAAGTTGAGGTAAGAAATGGAACGGGAAAAAAATTATAAAACTATGTTTTTTAAATTTTGATATATACTTTTATAATTTGAAAATTTATACAAAAAATATTGCTAGCTACATGTCGGGGAGATAATGAAGGGCCAACCCAAAACGATTAAACGAATATGATATGTTGTTCACAAATAAAAAAAAAATAGTGCATCTTAAGACAATGATATTGCAACCATCGAAGCATAGAATGTGATCATATATTCATTAACATGAAACGAGTTGCATGGTCAGATCATTTCTTCAATCAATGTGATAGGCATGATTTGTAGCTAAAGTTTGCACAGCAAGGGTTGGTAGATGAAATTTCATGGCAATGATAGGGAAAAGGGTAGGGGAAAACCCTAGTTCCATTATGAAAGAAACTAAAGTGACAAACTAATTTCTCGGAAACCATATTGAAAAGAGAACATTATTCAGTTTTTTTTATTTTATTGTAAAGTTTACACTATTCATAAACATATACATGAACATAGCTATCGATCCTATAACTTAATACAATACATAAAATAAGCAAATATCATCGTTAGAAACTTCATTCTAATTTTCACTTCGACAATATGGCTCATCTCTAAGTGCTTATATCACCATTAACACCTCTACCTTTATCTCCATTGTTTTTTATACCAAATACCTTACCATTTTGTTATCCTTGTTAAATCGTGTAACTTGTGCTAATACGGTCATATAACAATTAATTCTGTAATTAATTTCACTATTATAGCGGTAAGTTTAAACATAGAGAACGATGATAAAACTAATCTAGTTCAACATGGTCAATTCGGTAAGAACAGCTTTCTAGCTGCTTTTGTTTCTCTAAACTGCTTATTGTTACGAGTAACAAAATGAACCGTTTCCCCCACCATGTCTATATGCAAACAACTCTCCCCCTGCAATGCAGAAACACGAAAATTTCTGAATCCTATTGGCGAAGGAATACATCAATCCAACTAACTATCTATTCCTTCGCCAAAAATCTTCCATCGGAAACCAAAGCTTTGCAGGGGAAAAAAGCAACTCACAAAACCTTTGGCTGTCTCTCTTCAACCCGTGAAATCCTCCATCTACCCAAAACTCTCCCCTGCGTGTAGCAGAAAAAAGAAGAGCCACAAGGTCGATTTCTGAATCACGAGAAGAACCCCTCCTCCCTCCATTTCGCCATTACACTTTGGCTTTGACAACACCATTTGGGCCTCAAACTCTGGTTCACACACACCACAGCTTCCAATGCCCTCCAAACAAAGCTGCTCGTGATCATGCTCTTTTCAAACGCGTCTATAAACCCACACCCCTAAAGTCTCTGCCTTTGGGAAACAACAATGGAGAAAAAACAAACAATGAAGCCAGCTTCTCCGAAGCCAGGGGACAGCCATTTCGTGGACATCCATGAAGTACTCCACGAAGGAGATGAAGAAGGAGGTGGAGAAGAAGAAAGAAGAACAACGGAACGCAACCAAAAACCAAACCGGCCTCCATCGGTCAGGCAATTCAGAATCCGCGGGTTTGGAGGTCAAAGAAGTGGTGTTAGCTTCAGCAGGCAGGTTTCCTTGGAGACGGGGTTTTCAGCTCTCATGGGCAAGGAAGCTGCTTCATCGTCGAAAGCCAATAAAGATGAAGGGATTAAGGTCCTACCCAGGAGCGGGCGGAGCTTTGGTGGGTTCGATTCGGCTAAACGGCTCAATGTTGGTGGTATTGATGCAGGGGAAAAGAAAGGGGACTTCAGCATGTTCAGGACGAAATCGAGCCTCAGCAAGCAGAATTCGTTGCTGCCGATTAAGAAAGGTGACAATCGGTCGGACCCGATGGAGCATTGGTTGGGGCAGAGGAATAACAATGATCAGAATTCGAATCATGTTAATGGCGGTGGTGATCACGACTCTGTTCATAATGGTGTTCCTGCTGGGAGGTACTTTGCTGCTCTTACCGGACCCGAGCTCGACCAAGTCAAGGTATAGAGTTCTGGATGGACAGTAGATTTGGATCATCTTCTTGTTGTAGAAAAACTTATATTGTGAGATGTTTGGATGGATGCAGGACTATGAAGACATTCTGCTGCCAAAGGACGAGCTATGGCCATTCCTCCTGCGCTTCCCAATCGGTTGCTTCGGTATCTGTCTCGGCCTGAGCAGCCAAGCAGTCCTCTGGCGAGCGCTAGCCACTTCCCCTGCCACCCAATTCCTCCATGTCACGCCATTCATCAATCTCATCCTCTGGCTCTTGGCCATAGCAGTCCTGTTCTCTGTCTCCATCACCTACATCCTCAAATGCATCTTCTACTTCGAAGCCGTTCGTCGTGAGTACTTCCACCCGGTCAGGGTGAACTTCTTCTTCGCACCCTGGGTCGTCTGCATGTTCCTAGCCATCGGAGCACCACCGATGCTCTCGCCGGAGAAGCTCCACCCGGCCATATGGTGCGTCTTCATGGGGCCTTACTTCTTCCTGGAGCTGAAGATCTACGGACAGTGGCTGTCCGGCGGGAAGAGGCGGCTGTGCAAGGTGGCGAACCCGTCTTCTCATCTGTCAGTGGTGGGGAACTTCGTGGGGGCGATTCTGGCGGCCAGAGTGGGGTGGCTGGAAGCCGCTAAGTTCTTGTGGGCGGTAGGGTTCGCGCATTACCTCGTGGTGTTTGTGACTCTGTATCAGAGGCTGCCGACGAGTGAGGCATTGCCTAAAGAGCTTCATCCTGTTTACTCTATGTTCATCGCGGCGCCATCGGCAGCCAGCATTGCTTGGGAGACTATATATGGGGAGTTTGATGGGTTGTCGAGGACTTGCTACTTCATTGCTCTGTTTCTCTATGTGTCTCTTGTCGTTCGAGTCAAGTTCTTCACCGGGTTTAGGTAAATCTGTTACACACAACACAGTGGTCAATTGCATAATCTCTATCTAGTAATGATGATTTGATTTTGGTTGCATTTGATCGACAGGTTCTCAGTAGCGTGGTGGTCTTACACATTTCCGATGACAACGGCATCAGTGGCGACAATTAAGTATGCAGAACACGTACCTTGTATCCCAAGCAAGGTCCTCGTGTTGATCTTGTCCTTCATGTCAACGACGATGGTGCTGATGCTTTTCGTCTCCACATTGCTCCATGGCTTTGTGTGGAGGACTCTGTTTCCGAACGATCTTGCCATCGCCATAACGAAGAAGAGACTCGTGAGGGACAAGAAGCCACTGAAGAGCAGCTTCAGAAGGTGGACGAAACAGGCGTTGAACAAGCATAACTCTGGCAACAAGGATTCTGGGGATGAGAAGGAATCATCCACTCACAAATAATGTAAGGCTTCAGCAGCAGCTATAGTATAGATATAGTACCACATAGCAAATTAGCAATTGTAACACTTTTTTGTTCCTTTTGTGGTAAGAAGCAGTGGAGATATAATGATACATATCCTTCCTTTCTATTACTAAAGCTGGTGAAGCTACATTGGAAACAAAATATCAATAATCTTATTACTGATTACATTTAGAAAAGAGAGCTACAAAGGAGGGGAGGTTTTCTGGGTTGCTGCAACACCGGCCAAAATATGGTATACTGCTAAAGGGTAAGAAAGGCCTCTAATGGCTGTACAACACCGGCCTTTTAACTAGAGATTCTTCTTTCCACTAAAAGGGTAGGGTCGAGAGAAAGACCTAATCGCTGTTGTAAAGTTAGATGTACATTGCTGGTGTGAGAATAGCAGCTTTCTTCTTCTGGAAGAAATCGATTCCTTCAACTGACTCGAAGGCAGTTGTGCAGTTTTTGCAGAAGTGATGGATTCTGATTGCTTGCTTTCCAAGGGATTCTTTTTGTCAGGCCTCAGCTACTCTTCTCACCGGATGCCCAAGTTCCTAGAACAATTTCCGAAGTTTGATTGTGTGGCAAGAAGTATGGGAGATGCAGGGTGCAAAAAACATGGAATATCAGTGATTAACCTTTTTCTCAGCTGCATACCTCACGCCGTACTGGTTCCCGACATCACTGTTGCATCCATTGCTTCCTGGGCGAATCTGCTTTCCACCAAAGCCACCAGATGGCCTTCCTTTCGGTACGTGCTGCATCTGTAGATGGACAAACGATATCATGTCGTTGGTATAGATGAGGAAGACACCGGTTACAGTTGAAGATTGTTAAGCTTGAATATCACGAGCATACAAATATACCTTGTGGTCTGACTGATGATTCAACTGATTCTCTTTTGAGCCCTTGCAAAGATGAACAATCATAAGACTAAGTGAGTCAAAGAGATAACAGGGATAAAAGTGTGCAGGCCTAAGGTGGAAAACTGTATAAACCTTAAGTAGAGAAACCTCTTGAGCTGAAGGGTTTGATCGAGTAAACTGGGACGGAGGTTCCACCCATGGCTGGGTTTCAGATTTTAATGACAGCTGCAATTTCCAACCAGCCAAATTGTAAGAAAGAGTTTCAGACTTTTGGCTGCTATTTACTGCAACATGAATTTCAGACTTTGGAAACGGCTACCTTGCTAAATAGGTCTGTCGGAGGATTATGATGAGGCCTCTTGTCTGTATGGAGATTAAACTCCTGCAAAAGGTTGTAGACGAAACAGCATCAGTGGAATGTGTAGAACCGAAAACTAAAGAATCGAGCCTTTCTGCAAATGACAACTACCATGGGCACTGTGGTTTGCCGCTTGCTGTTTCGAAAAACACCTATGTCTCCTTTGCTTGAAAGAATCTGCATTCAAACATGAAAAAGCATTCCATATGAATTTTGAGTAACAAGCTTTTTGAGGATGTGATCTCAACTTTTTCCTTGGTACCTTTTTATTGAGTGGGCGAGCTTTGAATATGTGTGCTGCAGTTTGTCCATCCTGCTTTGCAGCATTGAGGGTACTGGGTCTGGGGATAGACAAACAGGTTTTAAGAAAGCATTCCTAGACCTCAATTGCTCGACATTTTAAAATAACCCCGGAACTTGTTCCCTTCTTCAGAAATCTTATTACCTTCGGGATTCTCTCCTTCCCATTTCTGCAACAGAGAATGTAGCCTGCTTGTCCATGCCCTGCAAAAAACACTCAATTTTTCATATGAAATAGTAGATTAGCTACACAGCAGCCTACCACTCAGAACAAACATAACCAATAGAGAGTCACAATTTTAATCGTAATAGGAACTTGAAAATGTTTACCTGATTAGAACCGGAGCACTGAAGTGAGGAAGATGAAACTGCAGAAGTATGCTGCTTGGCCCTTTCTGATGTTTTCAAGTGAAATTCCTGCAAAGCAACGAGAATGGACTATACTCAGGCAAACACATGAACAAAAAAGCATAAAAAGGAAAGGTAGATTGTAAGTAGAGAACCCACGTGAAACTCAGGCAACCTTGGAGTGCTTTTCTTTGGGATAGGTAACGACGGGGCCTCAAGAATCTGCAAATTAGAAATGAACAATTATTAAATAGAATACTGAAGGCCTCCCTAAATAACATTGTCTGAAGTTCAGGAACCAACTTTGCGGTTCAACGGGCGTGCTTTGAATCTTCGAACAGCAACTGTTGTATGTTCAAATTCTGATGTAATCATAGGCCTGCATCAGAAAAAGCGATTAATTTCAGGACCATGTAAACTAAAACATGTATAACAACAACCTGAACTGGATATCAAAAGGAAAAACCTTGTTCTGTGTGCTCTATGTGCTGTCTCAAAGTCCGGCTCTCTTGGAATGGTTATCCTCAGCTTCACAAGGACAGAGCTATTGTTAGGCAACATCTGACAGTTAACTATTACTCATAGAAATCAAGAATTCTGCTTAGTTCCCCATAGCATAAGAAAAACAGAGTAAACTCTAATCCAAGGGTTATATAATCATTACTCCTAAACCAACAAGGCAAAATATCCATACTGATGGAAAATTAAGAGCTATCAGGGATGTCAAGAAGTTCCCAATTTACGTGATGTAAGAACTCACTGTCGAAATCCTTATTTTCCGGACAAGACTGTATAAAGTATTAAAGTTTGGAGGCAAATAGATGAACACGATTGATAAAGAGAACTCAAAATATATACCTTAGCAGGTGCTTTATGGAGGAAATCAGTCTGGGGATTTGCATCACCAACCTGCTACACAAAAGAAAGCAACTAAATCACCACAAAGGTATAAAACTTAAAGCTCAAGTTGAACAATGTAGGTGCCAGTAAGTGGTAAAAATCTATTGCTACCAAACCAAAACTGTAGCTCGAGAGCAATGAACAAAATAATTGCTTTGGGAATGAAGTACCTTACGCAGATGACCTCCCTCTAACTTCTGCCGTTTGGCAGCCTGATTTTCGACCATGGAAGAGTTAGGTATGCTTTTTCCTTTCTGATCTAGAGCCATTTGAAACCTGATATCCAGGGGGAATAGTATTGCAACAAGAAATTCCATGAGAAGTTACAACTTACAACAGAGATGCCACATCGTAAGCATGTAATGCAGGCAACAGAGACATCTGATTATAATGGTTCTCAAATTTTAAAAATTACGGTACATTCTAAATTGAGTTAGACAATTTCATAACTGAGTTAGGCAGGGGTGGAAAAACAGATAGATTAAGTGAGGTGACTCCTTCATTCAGATTGGTATGTTCTATATCTCTTCAAGCTATGACTCAGGAGGTTCACAAAATACTTTTCGACACCACAAACATTCACAATGTGGAGCCTAGTAAATAAATCATCAACAAGCAATGCAGTCCAATATAATTCGTAACTCCAACAATAAAGCTCATTGCGAAAGCATCAACAAATAGTAGAGCAAATATGACTGTATCATATTTAGAACAAGGGAAACAGGATAAGAAATATCACCTTGAACCGCCAACATGTGGTGCTCGTATTTGCTTAGCCAATAGACTGGCTGTTGGTCTCATCAAAGTTGAGCAACCTCGAGATTTAGGCTTCAACGGATTCTCCTTGGCTTTGAATTTATCACTCAATATATGATTGTAAAATATGAATCCTGCTGTGACCAGACAAAAGATAATCAGAGTTGAGAACATAGTCATGTCAAATCATGAAAGCAGCAAAAAGCCACTCTCCCAATAGTGGTTTCCCTTGGGCCGGAATAGGCCACAGAAGTATTAACCAATCTTTCCGAGTTCTTCCTAAAAGGGGAACAAAAACAATACACTATGATCACAGGATCCATGAAAAAGTGATGGTCATTTGAAGCATCGAACATAAATGCACAGTTACGATAGGACACTGATTGTTGCTAGTTCTGGCCCTGGATTGGGAATTTTTTCAAATGATCAGTGCTGGGAATGGAAGTTTATATTTGATCACACTGACACTAAGCAAATGATTCAAGCCAAGATCCCAGATTAAGCACATAAACATCTGAAGCTTGATTTCTGTATCAACTAGAAAACTCAGGTCTCATATCTAGGCATGTTAGAGCACCAAACTAGAATGGTTCATATCGATCCCCACCCTGTATTTCCAGGCAAAGGAACACCAGTCATATTCCATGTCTCTATACAGAAGAAACCTCGGATGTCTCCATTCCAACAGCTTAAAATTCAGGCCCAAAGAAAGCTGTAACTGACATTTTCTACTTAGACCATCAAACAAGAAAAGGTGGCTGGACCAACCTATCCAGATGAGCCAATCCCTACCGTCCCAAATCACGATCCATACCGTGCAATGATCGACGAAAAGAATCAAGGACGGAGAATCCCGTAATATCCTTCATGTATGTTGGCTCTGAGACAAAGGGGGGCCACTGAATAAACAATCAAAGAAGTAGAATTAGGGTTCTTTTACCTTTATGGTCATCCCCCACCGCTGCACTTTCCGGGCCCAGAGCACCACCGTCTTCATCATTGAGCGAGGTGGTCATATATTCAGCACCTTTAGGTTTTGGAGATGTATTAATGTTCTGCAACATGATTTCCTCTCTCAGCACCAACTTTGCCACAAATGCTGAAACAAAGATGGAAGAAAGAAACCCAAGGCAAGACAATAAGACCGTAAGGAAATCAGAATCACGGACGAATCAGAACCTAACTCAAAGAGAACAGAGCGCAATGCTTTGCACAAAAGAAGAAAAAGGGGATTAAGAGCTTGAAAGGCGAAAACAAAGGCAAAATTCGCAAGTGAATCAAACAGGGGGGCAAAAGGGGAGCATTTTTCCACTGCCAAATAAAATGCAGCTTGAGAATCACAAAACTCACGAGACGGAGGGTAACTAGACGCCGCGCCGAACCACCGCTCGGCCAGCAGCGCCTCCGCGAAGGTCTCCTCCCGGCTGAAATCGAAGAACATCGGCGCATCGAACTCGTAGTCAGGATCCACTTCCCGAGCCTCGTAGTAAAACAACTCCACCTCCATTTCCTCCTCCATTCCGCTTTCCATTCTCCCCCTCAAATCGCTCGACTCACTCACTGCACTGTATTCACTCTAAACCCCTCAAACGGCCACACACCATTCAGACGCCGCCAAATCACTTTTCTACTCTTCTCCGGCGAGCTGAAAACCCTAATGAATCGCTTCGATTGAGAAAAAGGGAGAGTCGGGCTCAGCGGGACAGCAGCAGTGCCCGCTCGCTCTTACACAGTAACAACAGAATCCAAAACAGGCAAGCAAATAAATGAATAATAATCCCTAGTCCACATACAAAAAATAAAAGAATTCGATCAATTCATTTATTGGTTCATTACATTCCAAAACGTCATTAAAATGGATAGATCGTCTTCTTTCTCCTTCCTTCCTTCCTTCCTTCCTTCCTTCCTTCTCTCTTCTTCTGTTTCTTTCTTCCCTCCCGTCGTCTCAGTTTGTAACGATCTGAAATTTGAATTCTCAGAAGAAACCAATAAAAAAAAAAAAAGGAGACAGAGAGGGAAATTAATTTCCCTTTTGTTTATGAATTTTCCCCCGTTCAAGACGAAAATGCCACTGGTGATTATCAATAATGGGAGGTGGGGCACGGAGGGTACGATGGTCAAACACCAGAGCGTCGTTTTAGGAGTTTTTTAGGGGATTTTGTCTGTGTGCACAAAGGAGGAGAGAGTCATCGGGGTCCGGGTTGGTTCATCGGGCGGCGAGAAACTGTCCGTGAAGTTTCTGAAATTTCGGCGGGGTTAGAGATCTGCCCCTGGGAGTTGGTGGAAATTACGTGAAATGCCACTAACGGCTTTGTTTTTAGTTTTGTCCTGTAGTGAAAAATGCCGAATGCGTGCCTTGTGGGCGACGGAGGGACTGGTGATGACGAAACGGACAGATCGGCGCCGCGCCGGGCCGGGAGACTACGTTTTTAAGCAAAATTAAAAAAAAAAAAAAAAAAAAGGCGATGGAGAATAATAAGGACTGTGACGAGGGTAAGAACGTCATTTACACGTGCTCGGGGCTGACTGAGGGTGTCCTCGATATATACGTGCTCGTGCATGATAATAGTGTCGCGAAGTGGGAAGAAGAGGAAGGCAATTAGCGAATAGCTTATTTATTGTATTGTACTACAGTTCAACATTCATGTCTGCTAAATTTCAAACACAATACCACCTTTTCCTTACTCTTTGAAATATTTTTCTATTGCATCGTTTGGAAGATAGAGTTGGACTAGTTACAGTTAATTTGATTAAATTGTCTCAAGTCAAAATGAAATAATTAAATTAAATTATTTTATTTGACAACGCATAATAGAGATGTAGCAGTTGAGTCGATTTGGATTAATTTAAATTGATAGGTGGAAGGGTGAGTATTTTGAAGTGATGTGTCAATGATCAAATGAGATAATCTTGATACAACATGATCAAATTGCCCCATTTCTTAAATTCATTGTCTAAATGACCCAAATATCCATCAAAAGAAATTTGTTTGTTTATACAATCCATTCTTCAATAATAGTTGGGAGATCTTGTTTCAACGATCGTAAGGAAATCATACATTAATCGTTTGCTTATCAATTCAATTGGGAGTGGTAAAATTCATACGGTGAATGGCAATTCATGTTATTGATATAGGGCAAGCACGGTTGTCAATTCGCAGATCAACCCATCGGTTAATCCAAATTGACCCAAACACGGTGAGGAAAACAGACGCCACGCATTCACCGGGTCAACCCGTGACAAGGTTCACTTACTCGAGGTTACACGACGTTATTTTTCTCTTTGATTTGGGAATTGCGCCTTTTTCCGTTTTTTCCATTTGTCTAACCCTACTTTTGAAATTCTAAGTTAAACATTTGAATATTGATGTTATATGAGTGTGTTTGAACTTTCATTTTACGTTGAATACAAGTACAAATTCCTATTTTGGTATAATGTTATTTGTTCTTATCCATATATGGATGAGATTTTATATAATTTATAAATGTATGATCAATATAATGAGTACTTTTTTCATATATATGGACTAAACTGAACTAAAATGATCAAACCATTAATCCTTAACTCACTTACTCGACCAGACCATTGTGTCAACCTGGGGCCAAGTAGAAGGGTGCATAGACGAACACTAAAAGGATGGATACAGCTTATGACAGGATGATTTTGGATCAATCATTCAAGCCTATACTGATATTACAAACATGTCATGGATAAGCGAAACTATATGAAATCCATTGTGTTTTCTTTAAGGGTTGAAAAGGTGTACCATACCTGCGGTTCGGCTAGAAATACTTCTTGTGGCATGTTAAATTGGTAGGCGATGTTTAGTCAAATAAAACAGTTGAACCACGATTTCAGTATAAAATACACTATTATTTACTTTTTTTTATATAACCTTCAATACGATTTGACAAGATTTTCTCGTAGAGTTATTGCACAAATCAACAAATCTATCCCCCCAGTTTGAGCAACAGGCCAAATTAGTTGAAAACTTGGAAGCTCATGTCATCATACCGATTTAATTAAAATAAACAGAAGATTGGGGAATGGGTCCATATATTTTAACCCAATCCAAAAAAAGTCCCTCGAAACGAGAATGGAGGAACCCCAGAAGGACAGGAACTTTGGTGCACCTTTTTGGTCTTTAGCTCGGGGACACAGCTGGTCTGCTGCTGGTGGTGTCTCCATCGCTCAAGGCAAGCCAGCAGCTAGCTTCAAATCCCAACCCAAGTAAGTAATGAAGTTTCTTTCTCTATTTTCCCCCTTTCTGGTTTACACTATTCAGCATTCACTTTCTTGCTCCTCTGTTTTCCTGCTTTTTACCCATCAACAATCACCTGGCACGACCCACAGCTCGGCTCAATAAATTGGCCTGTCAATGAACTATCCAACGTTTTTCACTCCGAGTTTAATGAGATAGGACGAAGAAAATTCTGCAGGGGACGAAGATTTCATTCATTCAATCAATGATTTCGTGGGGACAGCAGCTTCAGTATGCAATCAATGAATGAATGTGTTTGTGCTGATGTACGAAAGAACTATAAATGAAATCACTCGCAGCACAAGAACCACATTGGATTCCCCTCTGTTGCGTTTGACGATGCATTCAATCCCATGGTAAATTTCCTCTGTATGTATAATTGCTGGGTGGGTGGGCAATGAAGTGGGTCAGCAGTGGTCAGTGAGATAGTGTTGTAGATCCATCCATGTATAGCCATTAGCCACCCACCAAACTGAGCAAGGTATTCAATATTGTGATTGACTCGTCGACTCGTGCCTTCCCCCCAATTTGACAAGAGCTACTACGGCTACTGCATGCCTTTTCTTTGTCCCCCTGCCACTAAGGCTAAGCCTTCAGCTGCTTGCTCCCCTGCGACTGTTGAAGCTCTGCTCTGCTGCTCTTGTTTGGTTTCTAGTTTTCTATATCGCCCTTTCGTTTCATATGGGAGAAGTGATGTGAGCCTTTTCATAGAGACATTGGTTTACGATTTCTTATTAATCTACTAGTGGAGGAGATTGCTATACAAATAAGCCGAAGGTGTTTTTTCCCCCATAATTTGTAATGTTACATTTTAAGACTTGATTGAGAAAAATATACGTTTTTGTTATTTCTCTCACTATTTTCCTACTTTTGTCTTAGTTTTAACATTGATACTAAACGGAGCCGAATGAAGTAACTAAACACAAAAAATTATCAACTTTCATGATTTCCCTTAATTATCAAACGTGTTTATGTTTTCCATTTTCATTGTGTCATGGTTGTACCTCCGGTTTCATAACAATATTGCAACCACAACAACAACAAAACTGTACTAAACAATGTGTGGGGGAGCTTATGTTTTCCTCTGTTGTTGTGGCAACATGAGTTGTCAACACAACAAAAAAATAAATGAAAACAATGAAATAACTTTACGTAGCTTCCTTGTTATATTCCAAAAATTGTTTCTTGTGAGATTCTATTAGTCGTTTTAATAATTTCATTCAAATAAGTATATTATCAAATCTCATTAAACTCAATTTGTGCATATTTTCACTCTCCATTTTCGCATAATTCATCTTCAAAACTTTTTCTTCTGGTAATTAGTAGCTATCATTAAAGCACCCTCTTTGCAAAGCGCAAGAGTAAAAAAAAAATTACAGGGGCAAGCAATTGCCAATGTTCATCTCCCACCTCGGAAGAAAACAAGAATAACAAAACTATCCATAATCAATGATTCGGTATAATTCAGGGACCTTTTGAAGCATCGTAAAAAAACTCTACATTGCCCTAGTAAACAAAATTACTTCCTCCCGCAGCAAAGACGCCAAGACTTCCGGTTGCCTAGGACAGTCTCCAAACACCATCCTGCAATGCTCCTTCCATATGAAGGATATGCACCAGCACCAGATGGAGCTTTCAAGTAACCTTTTGTTGTCACCCCTCTGAGCACTATGGCTCATAAGGTCAACCATTCCTTCCCAGGATCCAGGCAATCAGACCGTAGTTTTAAGAACTGTAGAGATGAATACGAAGGTAAAAGAACACCCACAGAATAAGTGTTGTCGTGATTCACTTACAGCTGAGCAAAGAACACGGAGATCGTCAGTGATAACTCCCCATGCCTTGAGCTTATCCCCCGGGGAGATTCTGTTCATTATACTAATCCATGTCAGAAACCGACACCTGGGAAGAGTAAACTTGCCCCAGATGATCTTCCACCAACTAACAATGGGCTTCCTAATCCGTAAAGTGTTCCAAATAGTTGAAACTGAAAAACGTGCAAGCTTGCCCCCTTGCCAAGTAACAGTACCATCTCTATCAACATCCATTCTGAACAGCAACCAAGGCTTCATCTTCAGCATTTGTCGTCAAATCCATGAGCCAGCTGCAGTAAGCTTCACTTCCCGTAGAGATGTCTCCCTCAGTCAATAGCGGTAGGCCCAGGCAACCTAGAAGCTTCCTCCACTCATGAGAAGAAGCCAGATTAATCATGTTATACCAGCCACATTCCAAGAGACCAAGTCCTTCAAACCCAGACCACCATCTTTCTTTGGCAAAGCAATATGTTCCCAGACCACCTTTTCCCTTCCTGATTTATCTCCATGCTAGAGGACTTCTGAGCAAACCTTCCGAATCACCTTGATAACTTTCTTGGGAATAACAAAAACGGTCAAACAGTAACGAATGAGTGCAACTTCCCCCATACGAAAGAGTGTTAGCCTTCTAGCTACGAATTCGACTAGTCAGCTTGTCAATAAGGATAGAGCATTCATGGCTGGATAGCTTACCTTATATCAATGGCAGACCCAGATATCTCATAGGGAGATGACCCTCCTTGAATCCTAAAGCTTGCAAAGCCACATGCTTAAATTGGTGAGCTAGACCCCCAAAGAAAACTTCACACTTATAGGGTTACAAAGCTGGTAGACAACATTCAGAATATAACTAACCTCTGATAAAGCCCTGGCAGAACCTTCATTAAAGATCAGAAAATGGTCTGCGATTTCAAAACCTTATTGCTAATATTATTTCATATTTTTTTTCTCACAATTTTCTTATAACTCGTCACCCCATACTCTTCCTCTTGTTATTTTCGTACTTTTGTTCCAGTCTTAACATCAATACTAAAAATGCCTAATGAATTAGCTAAAGCCAGGAAATTGACAACTTCCATAATTTATCAGAATTATTACTTTTTTTTATAATGATATCAGAATTATTACTAATCAAATGCGTTTTTGGATAAAACCAAAAAAAGTTGTATCTCTGTTATTAGTTACTACGGTAACTACAACAGTAACAAAACGGTAATAAATGGAAGTTTCACCAAGTCGACTTGTTCTGGTTAGCTTCAGCGGTTGTTTTGGCAGTACACTTTGATTTTCAGCCACAAGGCCCAGTATAGGAAAAACGTTTTAGAATTCAAAAGTTTGTTTGGACTAATAGTTCAACAGAAGGCCCAGACATGACTCCTTGGGACCTTGGAAAGTTGCCGGCCTGCCAAGAATCTTGAATATTTCTGCAAGCAATGGGATTTCTTTTCTCAAGAAGATTATGATAAGTGCGCTTTTCATGCCCAACAAAATTTATCGGACATATGCTAATCTAGCACCTAATGTTAATTGAATATGTTTATCTTATTTTTTTTTATAACACCTAATGTTAATTGAATATGTTTATCTTATTTTTTTTTATAACAGTGATATAAGTTTCTCTTTTTTGATTAAAGTACTATTTAAGAGATTCGAACTTGAAACTTCCAGGTTCTACACTAGTGGTATTACCACTAGGTCAACAATTATATCAGTAGAATTATTAAACTAATAATTTAGGGATGTGCGACGGCTCTCGATCAGCGACAACGGCAGGAATGTGCATTGGCGGCAGCACTAGATGTTAGGTTTTTATTTAGGTTTTTTCTCATATCATGTTTCGTGGGCTTTTAGTTTCATGAAGTTGGTTTGTGGTTGGACTCTTTTTCCTTTTGCGGACGATTCCTCCTTGGAAAGAGGGTTGCTAAACATCGCCCTAATTAACTTAAATCGCCCTAACTTTAAAAAATGAATTGACATCTTTATCCTTTTATTTTTTTTTATTCTTTGTATATAACAAACACAATAAAAAACAAAAAGAAAACACTCTCTTTCGGAATCAAACTGCCGCCGGCTGCCCACGCTAGGAAGATCGCTCCTCTGCTCTCTGTCTGTCTCCGGACATTATTAAAGTCATCAACCCAAAGGCAAAAAGCATAAGAAGAAAAGGAAATCAAAAGTTCCAATTTAGTTAATAATTATAAATTAATAATAAGGTTTTAAGTACAAAAAACTACTCATGGAGCTTGCTTTTTAAGATCTCGTCGACGACGACGGAATCAAGAGGCGCCGATGAAATGGGGAGAAGGGCAGAGTGCAGGGAACGGCTGCGGCCATCGGGGAGTATTTGGAGAGGAAGTGTTCCACGACAGTATTGGAGGATTAGAGATTTTAGGATTTTTTATTTAATTTGGTCTGATTAATGAAGGGTAATATGGTAGTTTTATGTTTTATATTAGGGCGATAATAGTAAATGTAGGGCGATGTTTAGCCAGCTTGAGAATGCCCCATGCATCTGACCTCTTTTTGGGGTCATTATTAATGAAACTCCAATATTATTTAAAAAAAATGGTTTTGTTCATTTGATTGAACGGTGAGTGAGTGATGGAGCAAAATGTTTTTTATAGTTTGACATGAAATCAGATGAACCACTTTGGGTTGATCGGTTCACCGATTCATAATTTAACCACAAAAAGTAAAGAAAAAATATACTTTAACATAAACTAAAATCATCAAATCTTAGTGATAATTTCACTCCTAAATTAGTATGTTGTATATGTCTTCTATGATATATCATACAAACAGTTCTATCCACGATTCTATAAATCTCAATCAATGAAACATCAACCACTAACCTTTTCGGTTCAGTATGCAGTTCGATTTTGAAAACATGGGTTTATCTAATTATTCTCATTACTTTTTTTTTCTTTCGATATACTGGAAAACAAGGTTGCTCACAAAATCGTTATTAATCAATAATCAACAAATTCACTTAGATTAGACAAAACCAGAAGAGAATGAGGACCCTAATATGTATAACCCTAAATAATTTAGCATGAGTCCTTACTTCTTATATAAGAAAACTACAACAACTTGTTAGTCAAAATCCTTTTTGCCTTTTCTGCTGTCTTCTGGTTTCGAAGCTATAAATCCAAAATAGATTTAGAGAAGCCAAGATCCATTTTAAATCAACGCTAATCGCATTCATATGACACCCAACGGGACAAAAAAATATCACACAGACATGACCATGAGGAGCCCTGAAGATTAATTTGTCTGAATATTTGGAGTTTTCCCCAGAGAAGCTCACAGCCAATCCTGTTCCCATCAGGATTATCCTAATTCTTCAGTACTCCCCAATCCAACCAAAAAAACATAGCTTGCTTTTGTAGCCTCTTATTATGCTTCTATTACTGTACAATTCTACATATGGAGTCTGGAATTTTGTCCCAACACGACACCCTCTGTATCCTGAATTATTAGACATCGATCATTCTAATTATACGCTACTAGTTGCTGCCGTATGAGAGTGCTTTACTGTTGTTTGTCTCTTCCACTCAACTCTACGTCGCCTATCTCTTTCTTCTTCGAGCATAATTTCTTCTTTGTTGACTTCTGCGGTGATTCTACTACTTGATGGATTTTTGCTTCATTTTGTTATCTACATTCCTTCACTAAACACAAGCATATATAGTTAGTTAGTTAGTTTACACGAAATCGGTTTCTTGTGGAAACTAATATTGCATCTAGTGGATAAGTTCGCCATGTACACAAGGTTTTTAGATGTTGTTGTGGTTGGGACTGTTCATTTTGTTAAGAGGACGTTGAAAACTAGTTGGTTCTAATCGTTCGAATGAATCTTATATATATACTAGTTGATCTTGCCCGCACCTGTTGCAGAGAATGTAACACCCTAACCCGGCCGGGTACTACTTTTACTAAAATGACCTTGATAAATAAAATACTCAAATATTAAATTGCAGAGGGAAAAACTTTCATAAATAAAATTCTGAAAACATACACTTGTAGTTCAAAGCAATTCCCTAACACATGGGCAAACTCAATACTTGAAATCTCAAAATGATCTCCAGTCTTTACTCATAATAATAAATGTAAATATCTTATAATCTCTAAAGTTGTTGCTACTGAAAAGCCTTGACTAAGCATCCTCCGTGACACTTATACTGTCATCCTCTAGCTGGCTGCCCTCGAACTCGTTGCTCATTAATTGCTCCTCTAGCTCCTTCTCTACGACCTGGTGAGTGGGTTGGGGTCAGTCTACGCCATTACTTAAACTTGAAACACTTACGGGTACTCCCTTAAGTGTTCACCTCAAAACTTGTGGAAGTTATTTATACTTCCACCCTTTAATACTTTAACCCTTTAAAAGAAATGTGGGAGTTGTTATTACTCGCCACCCTCAAAATCTTAAACCTTTGACCGACACTGGGATCCCCTCACTAACTAGTCCAGCCGCCCAGCTCATACGTATGAGGGCCAACATAGGCCTTTCCTTAAACCTTTTTATGGGAGTAATCGATTCAACCCCATAAACCTTAAGAGTATATCATACTCTTCCTTAAAACCTCATGTGATGTCTATGTGATTCATCCACATGTTCCTTAAGAGCAAACTTGCTCTTCCTTTAAACTTTCACTGGGGCGGGGAACTGGCGTTAGTGAACTACCTTTAAATCTTTTCACCCTAATTAATTAGGAGTGAAATACCTCTTAAATGTTGATCCTTAAAGATCAAACAACCTTCATTAAATAAACATAATATAAAAGCTTCAAATAATCATATACTTCACAATCATAACCTCAAATAGAGCATCTCAGATAATATCTCAATAAAACATGCTCATCAATCACGACGTAAATCAACCACTGTCATACAATTCACGTAAACACACATACTTTAAACTTGTAAGTCAAATACTTGAAAATCCGTAAGGCGTAGAATTTACCCCCTTAAACCACTCACCTCATTTCTGTTGAAACCGACTCTGATTCCACTCTAAAAATTCCATGTATCGCTCCCATTAAATTCTACTCGTCTCCACGATTCCATAGGCGCAGACGGTTCCTCGATCGGACGTCAATTGATCGAGTTATGGCCAAAATAAATATTCTGTCAGTTTAGAAGTATCAAGTACCGAAACTGAAATTTTCCAGTCAACACAGTTGACCCGACCTCTGGAAAATTACAGATTTAATCCCCTAACTTTTTCGAATTTTCAGAAATGGTACCTGATGGTTGACATATTCTTCCTCAAACTTGGGAGACTCGGTTCTCCCTCATCCGACGTCCGAATTCGATTTCGTCGACACCGTGACGCTCCTGAGATCGCCCTCTACGCAACCATATTCATCTTTTGAAGTTTCGTCGAAGTTTATTTTTCCAGAATCCGGCGACACTCCGGCGACGTTCCGGCGAAGCTCCGACGAACCCTCTAACGACCTCCAACTTGGATTCCGACTCCGTAGGATGGTTTCTCATCTTCTTCCGAGCAAAAACCAACGTCCAGAATCATTCCTTTCCTTCTATTTCTATTCCTCACTTTCTCCCTTTTCTTTAACGTGGAGGTGAGGCGGCGGTGGACGAAAGGCAACAAGAATGGATGAGGTTGACGATGATGAAATGCACAGTGTTTCTGAGGGAATTAGTAGTTATGGAAGGAGACGATATGAACTGCAAGGATTCATAAACATACTGAGCGGTTGTGGAAGAATAAGGGCTCGTTTTCATGGAAAGGAAGAAGGGGATTTAAGCTTGTGTAGAAGCCTCAAGCCACCGACGCATGATTTTACAACTACCCTTCAATTCTTTGTAAATGCGCCAGCTCATTATGTCTCGGTTGATTGAGTTATCCATTGGCTTTGAGATAATTGAGTGGAGAGGAATGATTAGTTGGTGTGGTTGACGTGGGTGGGATTCCCACCTTCTTTTTTATTGTTTGTTTGTTTAAATAATAATAATAATAATAGTTATTATTATTATTATTAAAATCCTTAATCCACCGTTTTAAACTTCTGTACGTAAACGTCAATTCAATCGTTCATTTATTATGGTTGAACCTAAACCCAAAATTCGGGGTGTTACATTTCCTCCACTCTTATAAAAATTTCGTCCCCGAAATTAGAACTGTTGGATAAGTATTGTAGCACAAACATTTGTATTCGACTAGGATTAATTTGACTGGGATGTAACAAATGTAACACCCTAACCCGGCCGGGTACTACTTTTACTAAAATGACCTTGATAAATAAAATACTCAAATATTAAATTGCAGAGGGAAAAACTTTCATAAATAAAATTCTGAAAACATACACTTGTAGTTCAAAGCAATGCCCTAACACATGGGCAAACTCAATACTTGAAATCTCAAAATGATCTCCAGTCTTTACTCATAATAATAAATGTAAATATCTTATAATCTCTAAAGTTGTTGCTACTGAAAAGCCTTGACTAAGCATCCTCCGTGACACTTATACTGTCATCCTCTAGCTGGCTGCCCTCGAACTCGTTGCTCATTAATTGCTCCTCTAGCTCCTTCTCTACGACCTGGTGAGTGGGTTGGGGTCAGTCTACGCCATTACTTAAACTTGAAACACTTACGGGTACTCCCTTAAGTGTTCACCTCAAAACTTGTGGAAGTTATTTATACTTCCACCCTTTAATACTTTAACCCTTTAAAAGAAATGTGGGAGTTGTTATTACTCGCCACCCTCAAAATCTTAAACCTTTGACCGACACTGGGATCCCCTCACTAACTAGTCCAGCCGCCCAGCTCATACGTATGAGGGCCAACATAGGCCTTTCCTTAAACCTTTTTATGGGAGTAATCGATTCAACCCCATAAACCTTAAGAGTATATCATACTCTTCCTTAAAACCTCATGTGATGTCTATGTGATTCATCCACATGTTCCTTAAGAGCAAACTTGCTCTTCCTTTAAACTTTCACTGGGGCGGGGAACTGGCGTTAGTGAACTACCTTTAAATCTTTTCACCCTAATTAATTAGGAGTGAAATACCTCTTAAATGTTGATCCTTAAAGATCAAACAACCTTCATTAAATAAACATAATATAAAAGCTTCAAATAATCATATACTTCACAATCATAACCTCAAATAGAGCATCTCAGATAATATCTCAATAAAACATGCTCATCAATCACGACGTAAATCAACCACTGTCATACAATTCACGTAAACACACATACTTTAAACTTGTAAGTCAAATACTTGAAAATCCGTAAGGCGTAGAATTTACCCCCTTAAACCACTCACCTCATTTCTGTTGAAACCGACTCTGATTCCACTCTAAAAATTCCATGTATCGCTCCCATTAAATTCTACTCGTCTCCACGATTCCATAGGCGCAGACGGTTCCTCGATCGGACGTCAATTGATCGAGTTATGGCCAAAATAAATATTCTGTCAGTTTAGAAGTATCAAGTACCGAAACTGAAATTTTCCAGTCAACACAGTTGACCCGACCTCTGGAAAATTACAGATTTAATCCCCTAACTTTTTCGAATTTTCAGAAATGGTACCTGATGGTTGACATATTCTTCCTCAAACTTGGGAGACTCGGTTCTCCCTCATCCGACGTCCGAATTCGATTTCGTCGACACCGTGACGCTCCTGAGATCGCCCTCTACGCAACCATATTCATCTTTTGAAGTTTCGTCGAAGTTTATTTTTCCAGAATCCGGCGACACTCCGGCGACGTTCCGGCGAAGCTCCGACGAACCCTCTAACGACCTCCAACTTGGATTCCGACTCCGTAGGATGGTTTCTCATCTTCTTCCGAGCAAAAACCAACGTCCAGAATCATTCCTTTCCTTCTATTTCTATTCCTCACTTTCTCCCTTTTCTTTAACGTGGAGGTGAGGCGGCGGTGGACGAAAGGCAACAAGAATGGATGAGGTTGACGATGATGAAATGCACAGTGTTTCTGAGGGAATTAGTAGTTATGGAAGGAGACGATATGAACTGCAAGGATTCATAAACATACTGAGCGGTTGTGGAAGAATAAGGGCTCGTTTTCATGGAAAGGAAGAAGGGGATTTAAGCTTGTGTAGAAGCCTCAAGCCACCGACGCATGATTTTACAACTACCCTTCAATTCTTTGTAAATGCGCCAGCTCATTATGTCTCGGTTGATTGAGTTATCCATTGGCTTTGAGATAATTGAGTGGAGAGGAATGATTAGTTGGTGTGGTTGACGTGGGTGGGATTCCCACCTTCTTTTTTATTGTTTGTTTGTTTAAATAATAATAATAATAATAGTTATTATTATTATTATTAAAATCCTTAATCCACCGTTTTAAACTTCTGTACGTAAACGTCAATTCAATCGTTCATTTATTATGGTTGAACCTAAACCCAAAATTCGGGGTGTTACATTTCCTCCACTCTTATAAAAATTTCGTCCCCGAAATTAGAACTGTTGGATAAGTATTGTAGCACAAACATTTGTATTCGACTAGGATTAATTTGACTGGGATGTAACATTTCCCTCTCCCTTAAATAAATTTCGACCTCGAAATTTTCTCGAAGCTCATTCCTATGACCACACCATCCTTATGCTTGCTTGACTCAAGAATTATTCTCGCTATCTGCACTTCGACGATGTACGTTGCTTTTTCCATATAGATTACATCCCTTCTTATATTTCCTTTATGTCATAAAAGATATTCTCACTAAGCTCGTAAGAATTGAGTAGCTACATGTCCTCCTTAAATTCCCCAATTTGGGCCAATGACTTGATGGACAAAATTTTGAATCAATTCATTGATCCAACTCATTCAGTACTCATTGTCGGACTTTAAATTGGAGTCGAGATATCACATTTTCCTCCCTCTTTAAGAAAAATTTTGATCTCGAAATTTGTTCACCGCACTAGCTCAAATTCTTACATGTGGTAATCCTTCTACTACAGGGATTTATACTTTCTTTACTTTCACTACCCCTTTATCAGTGTTTGGTCCTAGCTTTGATGCTCGAACTCAGTTCAGTAGCTCCTCGTCATTCCTTCTCAAAAATTCTACTTGCCTTTACTGACATTTATTTGAACTTCCCTCGAATGTTCTATTTTTCTATTGTTTCTCGGCTAGCTTGATGACTTTTCTTAGACAAGTTTCTATATTCTAAACCTTAACCTACATTGACCCGACAATGCTCCTTATGTCATTTGAATCTTTGACCTCTCATAACTATTGTAACTCGTAGGGTCTCTCGAATCCCTCCTCGTACTTCGACTTAGTTGGTGCTACCATTAGCCTCACCTACTTAAACCTGGCTACCCTCTCAATGGTGCATTTTAACTTGAATTTGTATTTGTGGCATGTATCGCCACCAGGTGGCTTATCAAAACTTGAGCAATGAGAAGCGTGGACCTCGTCACCATCTGTCTCCGAGCCTATCTCGCTACCACAGAACATATTTCCATCCGTTAGGGATCCCTAGCATACCTTATCCTCTAGCTTGCACTTATTAGCTACGTAGTGCGCTTGCTCCTTCCTCATTATTTACATCGTTACTCTTGATGATTTACTCCTTCCTTTCAAGGACTTTCCTCCGATCTAGTGTCTCAAATTCTAGATTCCTCTTCTTAGGGACGTACTGTATCCCTAAGGGATTCCCCAGTTTACGTAAGTACACGACTGTGCCTCCTCCAAGCCTTGAATCTTTGATCCCTTAAAATCCTTTCATGCTCCCCATGATCTACGTAATTCGTCCTTGCTTTGCTTACTTGCCCCTAGTATCGCTTAAAGTCTAACCTCTCCTTGGGTCGTAGCCCTACGCTCGATTCTCACTAATCAACGAACCTTCCTTACATCCTTTCCTCTAGATTATGGCAGCCATTTGCCATAACTCCTTGTCTACTATTTGTCGACGTGCTAGATACTTGGCATACTCCTGAACCTTATTTTGATCAGCTCACATTCCGGTAGGATATAAGCTGTCTTGAATGTTTTGGTGGTTTCTTAACCCCTCGCGTCACCTATGCTGCATCTTGAAAATATGTTGGAACAATAACTATCTCCATTATTCGGTATACGAGATGTTAATGCTTCTCTTGAACCCCAAGGTTACATATGGCGGCTTATCCTCTATCCAGTCAGATGGTAAAACTCTTTTACCGTAACTCTCGTCCGGAGTTGACCTCATAGGCCACTTAGGTCCTTGTATCTCCTAACTTTGCATCTCTTACTTTTTCCTTGATGCCTTGTCTTATCCTTTAACCAAAGATTGAATGGCCATCTCCACGTTAGTCGTTGCTTAGCGTTGAAGTCTCATACTACTGCTTTTACTTTCTGTATGCATTAGAGGCATACTTTACGTCTTCCCCTAGCGTGCGGTCAACTTTATGACTCCTTGCAAGAATCATGACCTTCTTATTGGCTTTCCTGTTCACTCCTGATGCCGAACTTAGCACTTCCTTATCGTCGCTTGAATTTGAAGTTCTCGTATTATCCATTTTGCCACTCTTAGACCCTATATGAAATTCCTCATACAGTCTCCCCGCCCAAGAAATTTTCTCATGAGAGATTTCCACCTTTCACCAGGATAGGCGATCTTGGTTTCACTTTGGGGTATTCCCGCAGGTACCCTAAACTCATATCCATCTTACTTCCTTACTCGTGACTCATCTTCCTGATGTTCCTCGTTAGTTCTAGATGATGTCCCTTATTCTCGATGTAGTCATCAAGGTTCTCATATTCTCTTCTTAATGTACCTTGAGTCCTTGACTTATAAAGTTCTCCCTTTGACTATTCTTAACGACCACGATTCCACCTTACAATTGGCCAACATTTCCTGATGGACTTCCTATGGATTGATTGTTTGCTACTGGTAATCAACCTAATGCTTTCTTGTTGTTTATTATATTCTTGCTTCGGTCCGTCCTAGCTATCTTCCTTGACGCATACATCGCCCGGTCGACGACCACCATTTTGTTTCTGTAACGTCCTATGGTGTGCTCCTTCCGTTGTTGCTTTGTACTATATTTGGTCAACAAACTCCGTTGAGTATCTTCTCGTTGTAGTTTTGGTCAAAGATTCCAATAGGGAATTTTCCTGGGTAGGCTTTAACATACCTCATTCACGTCATTTGTCTCGATTGATGCCTGCATATGGCCTTAATTTCATAGTCTGGGTTCTTAGTGGCTTAACTGAACGTGTCTTACTTATCCTTAACTAGCCACTTCCTCTGGATAACATCCTACTATGTCGCTCCCACTTCGAGTGGGGTACCTTGCGTAAGGTAACTTAATGATTTCCTCCTTCTTGGTAATGCTTTTCCTCGTCTCACTCCACTATGCATTTTCTTGAACCCGAGTTACCTACACACATTCTCAATCCTTCATCGGAACTTCCATGTGCTTCCTCGAATTCTCTGCCATTCACTAGAACATTTATTGAACGTTCCACTTACTTTTCTATACTCGGTTGGCTTAATGACTTACTCCTATATCTAGTTTCGAGACTTCAGCTCTTAGCCCCCTATTTCCAACTTACTATGGAGGTTCCTCCTTCTGTCACCCCTCACAAACCCTAGGTGGCTAGGTGCTCCCTCCATTTAGGATAAGACTACCACATAACAGATCATCACGAACTCTTGCATTACCCTTTCATCGGTCCCAACGACCTCTTGACCTTTCGTGATCTGGGTAGTTTGTAGTGTCTCTAATATCCTCTTTCTAGCTCGGTGCTAACTTAGTATTCAACTCACGCATTGCTGAGAAGTAGTTCTCTATTCGTACTCACTAACAGTTATTCTCTATCTCATTCCATGTCTTTTCTTACGCATTGGCTCACCACTGTCTTCTATCAGGCATGCTTTAGACTTCGGTGGCAATTTCCTCCTTGTCTCGTCTAATGGTGATTGTACTGAGACCATAACTTGTCCTCTACATCATTTATCTATTTGCTTGCCTTGTTCCTTCTAAATGCTTGACATCGACTTAACTCCCTAAGGTCATGTACCCTCTTCTCTGGTTATGTAGTTTATCTATAAGGGTTCCTTTATCGTCATATGTAAATGAACATGCCTCCTCTCCGCCTTGACCTATTGACTTCTTGACGTACTTTCATGCTCCCTTTAATCTACTTAATTCCTCATTTACTTCATTCACACTACCCTAGCTTCTCTTGAAGTCTAAGCTTTCCACTGCTTCTTGTCACTGTGTTGTAATAGCGTTGAACACTAATACTAGTTGAGGGACTTCACGTGGTACCTCTTAGTTTCTTGACTCGCCAATGCTTAGGAACAAAGACCGTGACACCCTCCTATTATCATAGCTACTGACATCTAATGATTGTACATCTTCCTTCGGAGATTCATATTTCTCCCCTTTGTTTGTCTTAGCTTATTAGATCCTACATTTATCTCCAAGTAGTAAAATCATCGTACTACCCTCTCAACCGCTTCAAAAATCCTCGAGGTATTCCCTTGCAATTGGCACCTCTTTGCTGGTGTTTGAAGTTGAGGTCCTCGCACTTTTGATTCTACCTCCACAGACCTTTACAACGTTCCTCCTTCCTTCTCTAGGTTGATGATAATGATCTATTGATAACATCCGAGTAGTTGGTTAACTAATTCAAAAACTACTATCCATCACGTCAACGAGATACTTGATCTTGAGAGCCTTCGAGATTCTACTTGGGTAGGTCACGTTTTTTTTTTTCGCATCCTTTCTTTATTACTAATGATCGCCATGTGCCTAAATCTCTCATTTGATTAACCACGATGTGTTAACTAAATCGTTTCCCAGCTTATTCTTAAACCAATCGCACCCTCGTGCTACCATTCCTTCTTGTCGTACCTTCATAGCTATTCACTTATTATGATTAGAGTAGACTGGAGATTCTAAAAATCCTCAAAAGAAACTCTGACTCGTTTGGCCAAACCTTTAACCTGAAACCCTTTCTCCTTTCCTTTAAAAACCAAAAACCTTGAAAAACTCAGATCGTCACTCCAGTATTCCTTGAAGACCAAGGAACAGAGGAAGACCAGCTCTGATACCAAAATGTAACACCCTAACCCGGCCGGGTACTACTTTTACTAAAATGACCTTGATAAATAAAATACTCAAATATTAAATTGCAGAGGGAAAAACTTTCATAAATAAAATTCTGAAAACATACACTTGTAGTTCAAAGCAATGCCCTAACACATGGGCAAACTCAATACTTGAAATCTCAAAATGATCTCCAGTCTTTACTCATAATAATAAATGTAAATATCTTATAATCTCTAAAGTTGT